ACGTGCAACTTTACTATACACCACTTTAAACAAGAGAATGCAACTTGCCCCTCTCTGGGCAGGATCATCAGCTGGTATAAATGGGCCTAATTCTATTGACTTCAACAAGGCTACATTGATTTATACCAGCTGGGAACTGCCCCCTTCCCCTTCTTAAATTCTTTTCCTTTTCACTCAGGGTACATCTATACTACAGAGGCTATACCAATGTAGCTATGCTGGCATCAGGGCCGGCTCCAGGCACCAGCCTGGCAAGCAGGTGCTTGGGGCGGCCACTCTGGAGAGGGGCGGCACGTCCAGCTATTCGGCGGACGGTCCCTCACTCCCGCTCGGAGCGAAGGACCTTCCACCGAATTGTCGCCGCAGATCGCAATCACGGCTTTTTTTTTTTCCTTTTTGACTGCTTGGGGCGGCCAAAACCCTGGAGCCGGCCCTGGCTGGCATAACGTCCTGGTTTGCAGAATGTCACAACTGGCCGTTCCAGCAATTTCAAAACCTTCTTCCCCAAACGTGTGTCAAGTCGGAAGAGGCGCCGACGCTCACTCACCCTGCTTTGCAAAGTTTCTGCATTCTGCAGCGAAACCACGGCTGGGTGGAAAACACCCCAACAGCTTCACTCCCCATGTTATTCTCAGAGCTGGACAGCCCCTGGGAGCCAGAGAGCGCGGCTACAGCCAGCAGTGGCAGGAGCTAAAGGCTTCAAACTAAAGCTTGTTATTTAAAGAAACCTACGGGATAAAGAGACATGGGCTAAAAAATTCACCAGTTCAGAGAGCTGGCACAGCGCTTGGGCATCACTTTAATCCTCAAAATAGGGCGGAAGTGGCCTTAGCACTAACGAGGCCACAAGAAGCAAAGCAAAGAACCTCCAGTGACCTCCGAGTAAGGAGGCAGAAGCACCATTGTGGACGGCCTTGCTATTAAACGATATGCTCCCACAAACCAATACCATTCGCCATGGCCTGCCGACCCCCAGGACAGTCGCCAGAGGGCCTGCATCACAATGAGTTGAGTCAGTCCAGGTCCCTCATCCATGTCCTTCTTTCTCAAGGAGATGCACTTAATGAATACGAGTCTTTTAACAGGGCATTCGGGGGAACAGCAAGCTCTAGTGAGAGGCTCCCTAGGAAAGCAGCTGAGCTGCCCATAACCGGACGCTCCCACCACACCATGCCCAAGGCTTCCCCGGGAATGGCCCTGGAGGAATTCAGCAGCTAACTAGCTGCATAGAGATATTGCACAGCTGTAGAACCACAGAGGCGTGCTGCTCCATTAGCCACTGGGCGGGGGACAAGTCTAGTAGCCCATACACAGGGCTTACTGGGGCAAGTCCCGGGAGTTGACCCTGGATGTGAAGCTGCTGTCAGTGCTGCAGGGGGTCAGTGGTGTGGAGCACGGGGGATTCAGGAGGGACCCACCGCACAGAAGCGATGCCAAGTGGACCCGTTTTGGCTCTGGCCAGGGAGTGAGAGTTGCCCACCTCTGTGTGCCCTGCTCTTGCCAATCACAGGACAAGTTGATGTGACTGTCACCTGCAGGAAGGGGGTCAGCAGGACTGGCTTGGTGGCCTCCTTAGAGCTAGGGTAGGTAAGAATGCGCCCTCCAGAGCAAGAGATGGGAGAGCGCCTGCTCCTTCGGTCCTCCATGGCACCTTGCCAAAAGAGGGCTGTTAAGTCCCCCTGTTCGCTTCAATATTCAGCTGCCTCTTTGCTGAGAGAGCCCTAGGGTTGCTATTTTTTGTGATGGAGATGCCCGCCCAGCGGGAACTGGGCTGAGACCCAACACACTCATTCCGCACAGGGGCCACCAAACAGTGGTCTGACATGTAGCTGCTTTCTGTCCCTATGCAACCAGGCTGGGCTCGACCTGGGGGTGCTGGAAGCAAACAGCTTCCTAGCTCATGACCATCCACTTTGTACCCTGCTGGCCCCCACCACAGTGCCTCGTGCAATTCCCCCCCACCCCCCGTGCTGGTGCAACACAAGGCTTGTGCAGCCCTTTGCATAAGAACAGGATGGGAGGGGGAATGACCAGAGTGCTCAGTGCTCCAGCTTTTCGGGCTGCAGAACAGCCAACAGGAAGCCAGGGCAGGGCTTTAGGAAAGACAAGGCTGAGCCCAAAGCCAGCGGTCAGAACATTCAGCCAAGGAAGTGATCTTGTGATCATAGGTGTGTTATAATGCAAGGTAACATGGCCAGATTCTCAGCTGTTGTATGTCGGCATCGCTCCATTGACTTCCAACGGATCCGTGCAGAATTACAGCAGCTGTGGATATGGCCTTGTTCCGGCAGCAGCTTAGCGCTCTGCCTGTCCTTTTCCCCATGCAGCATTGTTGCATCACTGTCTGCGGAACCTGCCTCATACAAGACAGGATGGGTTCACTCCTCCTGCTTCCCCGAGTGTCCTTAGCCAGATCCGTGGCCTCCAGCTTCGATGAGGGCTCCGGAGAGGCCCCATTGTTTCTGAAGTCCTTTAGTGCTTAATCATAGCAAAGGCAGCTCACGCTCCTGCAGCCAGCGGTAGACTGAAAAGAACATGCCCTACTTCTCAATAGATCAGCCATGAGCTATCTGCTTGGCATCTGGGCTTCCAATACAGTACATTCCTCCTCGCTCAATTTTCTCCTGTTTGGCAGCAGAATGGTCTTTAAAAAACGAGAGATAATTATCGGAAGTAATCATCGGTCTATTGCTGTGCTCTCCCCCGCAACCACCTGCTTACCCCTCTGCAGCTCTTTATTAATTAATGGCCCCAGATATCATTTGGTTTCTCATGGCCATTGCACACGAAAAGGGTAATTTACTCTCCCTGGATCAGGTCATGAAATGTTAATGGGGCTTAACAGGAGTTTTCATAACCTCCCTTGCCCTCTCTCAGAGCGGCGGCATTCTAAGGGGCAGATTCCGGGCCATGCCTCTTGGGAAGAGCAGTCCAGGCAGGGGGAGCTGCAGGGGAGCTTTATGACCTCTTTGTACCTCCCAGATCCTAGGCTGCTCCAGAGGTGCACATGACCTCTGCAATAAGTTAGAGCAGCCCTCAGCCTTTAAGGCCTCCTTGCATGGCTGCCTGTTGGTGGTTCTGCAGCCCAGAAGAGACGGAGCACAGAGCACTCTGGTCATTCCCCCTTTCGCCGTGCCCCTAAGCTATGTCACTCCTGCACTGGGAGAATTCCCCAACGTGCTGCAGTGGGGTGCAGAATCCGGCCTCAAGGGGCTGGCGCCATCAGTGGGTTGGCCCAGGGAATGGGACTTCACCTTATTTCGTACTGAATGCTGCAACGCCCTTTCAGGGCCTGATCCTGCAGTTTAATGTGATGAGGGACTTTTGCCGTGGACTTGGATGGGAGCAAACTCCAGTTCAGAAAGGCACCTTGAGCTTGTACAAAAGGCACAACACAAACAATTGGATTGCTCGGCCAGAGAACGCAGCTCACTGTTTCACAGCTAAGACGCAGAGACCGGAGAGGAACATTAGTGAAGTCACTGCAGTTTTAGCACCTGCTGCTTAGTGATTTTTAAAATATTACAAAACCAGGATTAAAAGGAATCAGACAGGTCTGAGATGCTCATTGGCCTTGTAGGACTCCATGCTCCCTAGACACTCTGCGTCGCTTCCCATCTCACCATAGAGGCATTAGACACGACTTTGTTTTTAGCTTTGTGCTAAACACCCATTGAAATCTGGCAGCTTCTTTCCAAGTTCCCTGATTCATTTTTGTTTCTGTCAGAGCCCTTCAAGGGGAAAGCCTGTTTCCTAGCTCTTCCTGACCCTCTCCAGGAAAAAACAAACAACCCCCCCTTTAAAAAGGACAAGAGCAGCTTGTAATAAGGTATTTTGTCCAGAATGATTCCTGAGAGCTACTCATACAAGGTATGTCTACACTGTGATCGGGAGGTATGACTGCAGCATGTGTAGACATACTTGAACTAGTTTTGATCTAGCTAACTTGAGCTAAAGGAATAACTCCTCTCCCTCCTAGCTGTAGCAGGCTCCTATCCTGTATGGAGCAGCCATCAGAATGGACACGTACTACACGCTCTGAACAATGTGTCAACAGCAGCATGTCCCTCTAATGCAGTGGTTCACGAAATGTTACAGGGGGTTTTCGGGAAAAAATTCCCTAATGGCGGACAGAGCTGTCCCTAGGAACCCTGGGCAGCACAGGGCCAGCAGCCCGGAGCCCCTGGACTTCCAAGAACTAAGCAGATCAAAGCAAGCAGATCTATCACACTGAGAAGATTTAAACTTCAAGACTCCTTATAAGAAATGGAAAGGGAGGTGGATAGTTTTTGCTGTTTTTAAAATGAAATAGGCAGCTAGTATTGTTTTTAAAATTATTATGAAGAACAAGTTTAAGCTTTGTTGTAACGTGCATTGTTAGCCTGGACTGCTCAAGACCTGAATGCTTGTGTAGGAAGAACTCTTTGAGTTGGCTTCTTAAATACCTTCATGCTTTCACATCTGATACTCCTTGATGAAACATAGGAGCCTTGTCTTATAACAGGCTTATTCAAAGTGATACAAGCTATGAAAGTGAGATCTTGGAAGAGTGTTGCTGTTTTCATAATGTAATAAAAATACTGTAATGATCAATAATAATTAATAATAAATAATGCGTAATAAGCATGTCATAAAAACAAATTTGATATTTCCAAGATCACTGCTTTTATAATTTATACTCAGGTAAAGGAGAAAATCCCTGGAAATATTCATTTTTACGAGGGGGTTTGTGAGACTTGACATTTTAGTGAAAAGGGTTCACAGGTTGTTAAAGTTTGGGAACCACTGCTCTAATGGGACTGGGATGCAATATTATCTCAGACATGCTTTTTAATCCACATACAATTTCACTCTCATGAGGACATGACAAAAGAGTAAATCAACAACTTGCACAACCATCTGATTTGGGAAACTCATTCATTCCAGTGTAGCTCATGGGAAGGTGAGAATCTCAGCCAGATCTCTCCGATTGGGAGCAATCTGATAGCAAGGCTTGGATTTTTGGGTTAATTGGTAGCAGGATCTGTTGGCTCCAAGCGGCTTCCTTCACACAATAAAAGAGCATGTCCAGTTCAGGTGGCTCTTGGCTTGGAGAGACCGCAGATTAGTGTCTGTGCAATGAGAGCCGGCTGCCCACGGATCCAGGTGTCTAAAGCAGGTGACGTTATCTCCACTAGCTGTTGGAAACTCTTCCAGGTCATACCAAGGAGCTGGTGTCTCCTAGTTTCTGGAATAGCTGCAACAATGACAATTCATTAGCAGTGGTAGTAAACTCCAGTTGAACATAATGGTGACACTTGCTGTTCAGCACAACTGCGCCTGTATTTCCCTTAGAGGTTCAGCAAGGGCGCCCACGGGCAGGCTTCTGGCTTCCCAGCTTGTTGTCTTTCTTGGATGGAGCCCCGCGTCTCTCCCGCTTCTGACAGAGGTATTCCCAGGCTGAACAGTTCCCTGCCTTCACTGTGCTATTCCCAGCAAAGGACAAACTGCTTAAGCAGACCTCCTTGCTTCCTCTTCAGACATTAGAACAGTGTATCTGCCCACAGGTAAGCTACCACACAGCTCTTGTGATGCAAGTGGATTTATCCTTAAGATGAAACCATTACAGAGAAAATGTATTAAAAACAATAAAGGAACCTACATACATACTAAAAAGCTTCCCAGCGATCACCCCAACTCCGCCATGGGCTGTGGTAGCTAATTTGTCCTTCAAAACCCCATAAAAGGTCACCTCTATGGTCCTTCAAAAACCCTCTATGGTCACAAGTACATAACAGCCTCAGCTCAGAACTAGCCCATTCAGGTAAAGTTTAGTCCATCTGTTATACAGTTCAAGGGTCTTTGATCTGGAGTTTCCAGGAGCAAGTAACCAGTAGACAGGGGTCTCGCTCCCCAGGGCATAGCTTCAAAAGGCTGGTTTCACAGGGGAGAATTTGCATTTCCCTCCTCCCAAGTACTTTCCAGGATAGTCACATCACAGAGATTGTCCCCAAAGCCCTTTGAAGTTCCTAATACTTTCAGAGATTTAATTGGTCAGGTTTCTAGAGAAGTTACGTACAATCCCACAATAATCCAGACACAACTGCATTTTGAATAAATGGACCACAAAGGTTTTAAACTTAATTCAATAATGTTTGTCCAGGATAGTGTCGGTCTCTCCCAGACTTGCCCCAGGACAGTGGTTGGCATTGTAACAAGGGATGACCAGTTGAAGTCCTGATGCTATTTGCTATTGAGTACAATCCGTCTCCTCAGCAACTCTGTATTCACAGCTTAAGACTTTTTTCTATACAGAAGATACAGTTCAGACCTCTAGTGAACAGATACATATTGCTGCCTATGAATTAGTGCTGATCAAAAATGTTCACACTGGTGAAATTTCAACAAAAATTGTGCCAATATTTTTCACAGTTTTTTGACCAATTCTAATATCAGTGAGAGTCTAGAGTTGAATGTGGACAAGACAAAAACGATGGTGGTATGCAAGGATCCTGGGAAAATACACAAGATTCCAGCGAGTGACACAGCTGTACGACATGTGAGAAATCACTGCTACACCTCTACCCCGATATAACACGACCCGATATAAAACGAATTCGGATATAACGCAGTAAAGCAGTGCTCCGGGGGGCCAGGGCTGCGCGCTCCGGTGGATCAAAGCAAGTTCGACATAACACGGTTTCACCTATAACGCGGTAAGATTTTTTGGCTCCCAAGGACAACGTTATATCGGGGTAGAGGTGTACTTAGGAAGCATCATTACAGAAGACGGAAGATCAGCTAACAGCAGAAGAGCAGGAGCAAAAGAGACGTTCTGGAAGAATTAACATCGGATGAGAAGGAACATCAAATCTGAAGACTTTTTTAAATCCCAACTCTTAAAAACTTGCACTTGGTCAGGTCTGTGTTAAATTATGGCTGTGAGACACAGACATTCAAACAATTCAAGCGTAACTGAGGGCAGAAATTTAGCTGCCTCTTTCGACCAGATTTTCCTCTCCCTTTCACCTATGTAAATCGGGAGTGACTCATTTGAAATCAATTAAGTTACATGAGATGTGAAGCCAGTGTGAGAGGAGAATGGGCCAAATTCTCAGCAGATGTAAATCTGTGAAGCTTTGGAAATGTCAATAAAGATCTGTCAATTTACACCAGCTCAGAATTTGGTCCAGTATCCTTACTGGGATCTTCCGCCAGTACCTTGCAAAACCAAAGCCCCCTGAATCTGCATGAAATCCAACCCCAAAGCCTTGCTTACCTTGCTCAGCAGTGGAATATTTCCCAAAGCTCCCAGAAATCCAAAGACTACTGGGAAAAAATTCCTGGAGCAAAACAAAGATCATTGTTAATCAATGAGTGGAAGCTGGGGAAGGGAGTGGGCTGATTTAGGGTCAAGGAAGGACTTTCCCTAGGATCTATAACTGGGTAAAATAAACTCAGGTCTAAAAAGTTCCTGTGAGCTTTCACTAGCTGGGAAATATTGTCCATCCAGCTGATTGCCAGATTGTTGCCAGCACACAAACGGCCATGTGGATTTGGTACGGATTTGGGGCCTGGCAGGATCTCTTCTGGCTCACAGTGTTTGAAATCAATGCCTTGCAAACAACAGGGGAGTTGATCCTGTGACTTTTGTGTGGCTTTCTGGGGAGCTTTGGATGCTTGCTAAGGAATTCCTTAGGGGAATGAGAATGGGGTTTCCTAGATAGCCTCTTGTACCCACAATGCTCTACACCTATGGAGTTTTGCCAGTTACCCTAGCAAAGCTATCGGCAAAGGCCAAAACTAAAGGCATGTAGCGAACAAGTCACCTGAAGAGGGTGATGAAGCCATAGATCTCCAGCAACATGCCCAGAAGAGGCTGTCTCAGGAGCACAATGAGAATGCCTCCCAGGAAGAAACTGGTGCCCTTTAGCTTTTCCTTCTGGAAGAAGAAGTTGAAAGTCCTTCTCAGTCCAATGATAATGGCCAAGCCAGAAAGGAACAGGAGCTAAGCGGAGGAAATGGAGTCGCACAGGACTTGTTAGAGGAGAGAAGGTCTACACATTCCCTTCATTCATTCCCGATCGGGCGCCAACTCTAGCTCCTCTTTCCCGTGTGATCAAAGAGAACCCTCGTCTATCCCATCTGCTGACACGGGCATCCCCCTCTCCCCTCACCTGGGCACCATCCATCACGCTAACGCAGCATCCTACTTGCCTGCTTTTGCAATCCATGTAACCGTTATAAAGGACAATGCATATAAGCCACTGTAATAATGCAGTAAGGAAACAGGCTTGCATTTCTTGCCTAAGTCCCAGGCAACAGAAATGCAGTAGATAAGAGAATGAAGGGCTAAATTCTGCTCTCAGTTATAACAATACCTAGGTCTTACACAGCACTTCTCATTAGTAGATATCAAAGGAGGTCAGTATCATTATCCCCACTGTAGTTGTTTCACTAGTAGAACCCCACTAGAATTGCACTGACTGCGGTAGAATTCCGATGCCAGCTGATTCCCTCGGTGTTAGGAAACATCTCTGATATTTCATGAGAATGAAAATGTGCTCATGTTACAGGGCTCGTCTATATGGAGAGTTATTCCAGAATAGCTATTCTGGATTAACTCTTGCTAATTAACGCCATGCGCGGATGCTCTTATCCCGGAGTAAGAGTGCCTTATTCTGAATCCACTCTGGAAATGGATTAAACTACTTTGGAATAAAAGCATCCACCCCTGGAGTTAATCAGGAATAGATAATCCACTTTAAATTTACACCCTACCTGAATCTGACTGAACTTCCATGTGTAGACAAGCCCTTTGTTCTTTTTATTTGTAAATTCAAGACAACTTTTAGAAGGACTTTAGTGCCTGGGAGGAGAGGTGCTGGGCTGACTTCCCTGGAGACTGAAATGCTCTATTTACCCCACACAAGTATGGGCTGCACCATACAAGGGTCCCCCACACCATGTGTCTCAACCCTGATTGGGAAGGACCATCCCCAGTAGGGAGATAGTAGTTTAGTCTCCATGTGATTTGATTCTTGGCTTCTCTTTCGAGGTTGCCTACAAGGGGATCAGTTAGCACCAGTTGTGGTGAGATTAAGGATGTGGACACCATCACAGCTGGACTGAAATGCAGAAAATTTATTTCACACCAACCCGAGCAGGATTTGAACAGAGACTAGCCCTATTTCTCTCATAATAGGAACCTGTACAGGGCCAAAGGGCTGGCACGTTCCACCATGGGAGCTGTGACTGGTTGCAGCGGGGTTGTTGTGTCTGGGCCCCTGTCCCAGTGCTATATTTTGCCCTCAGGAGGGGCAAAGAAGGGGGCCAAGGTTTTGAGGTACTCACGTTTCCAAAGGCCAGCAGCACTGAGTCAAAGTACAAGAGCACCCCAAAAAAGATGAAAAATAGGCCAAAGCCCACAAGACCGACGCCGATCTCTGCAACAGATGGAGGGTCAGCGATTAGGAGCGCAGCAGCCAGAGGACAACGTATTGCTACCAAGGAAGTGTTGGATGGTGCCAGCTTCGGTCACCAAATCCACTCCGTGGTTCCTCGTTGCATCGCCACCTCAGCAAGGAAGGTTAATTTGTGGGTTGTGTCAAATATTTAGAAACCCGTCAAGACAATTTCTATCTAAGGTAGGTTTTTGAGAGCTCACCCACCCCCCTGGCCTCAGAGCGCCTCTCTCCCTATATGTATCTAGGGAGAAAGGGACAGTCTGATGTTAAGCCAGCTGGAAAACAGGAAAACGATTTCCTGAAAACCTGTGAAGTGGTTTCCACGTGGCAGGGGTCACCTCCTAATCTCCTCCCTCTTCAAAATGGAGCTGAGCCAAAGCTCTGGACTCACTAAGAGTCTTCCCATTGCCTTGAATGGGCTTTGGGTCAGGCCCAGGGCTCTCCAACTTATCTATCAGCCAAACAGCAGCCAAGGATGGGATGTCATAGGGGTTTAGAGCAATGAGAAGCTGGTCTGAAAACCCAGGACACATCTGCAAACCTTGTGTGTGTGTCAGGGCATGAGTTACTCACTTCATTTTCCTCTTCAGGGAGATTTGGCGCTCACTAACAGTGCTGAGAGAAGGGAAGGCAAGCGCTCAGCAAACCTCCCACACACCCAGCTCTGCCAATGGCCCTCACCCATAACCCCCCTCTGCTATTCCAGTCCTGAGCTCCCCACACACCCCACAGCTGTGCCAATGCCCCATAGTCCTGACCCACAGCCCCCCCTGCTATTCCAGTCCTGAGCTCCCCACCGCCAGCTCTGCCATCCTGACCCACAGCCCACTGCTATGCCAGTCCTGGGCTCCCCCACTCCAACCTCAAGAACTGCCAGCTCACCCTTGATCTACTTCCCCCTGCCTTGGCATTGTAGACCCAGACCTCATCTGAGCAGACGCTGCCAGTTGTGGTGAGTTTGAGTTCTGCAGAGCTGTGAAATGCACGTTTCCCTCTTCTGTGGAAAGGTGTTTCTGTGGTGTTGACAAACACCCATCAGGGTTTGCAGGGACAGTACCAGACTCAGGGCCCTTGGGGCAGGGGCAGGGGCAGGACAGTAGTTCACTCTGCCTCTGACACTCCCTGATCTGCTGTGACTGGTGCCACAGAGCAACCTCCAGCTCCAGCCCAGACTTGGCTCTGAGCTCCAGCAGTCACAGCATCGCACACCGGACGGAGCAGATAAGCCCCAGCCTCTGAGACAGGCTGTTCCCCGGGTTCACGGAGTATCACTGACGAGTTAACAACCAACCCCCCTGAGTCTGCGTCCCTTACTCACTCTGAAACTCCGTGAGAGACACCATCTTCCCTGGCATAAGCCTGGCGTGAAACAAGGTGTGTGTGGAGCGGGGTGTGGTGGGGGGTGGACCCACAACTTCCACGAGCTCCCAACCAGTGACCCTTGGAAAGGTCTTTAATCCCTACCTCGTCATCCCGCAAATCATTAACTCCACAGCAGCGGCAATAACCTTAAAAGGCCCAGCTGCTAATGTGGCACTCATCACCACTAGGTTCCCTCTCTGAAACCAGCACAGGCCTGTAGTCCCTTACCTGGAGCTTCTTCTGCATAAAGTACCCCTGGGGATTCTGCCATCGCTGTTACCTGGGAAAGCGGAGTTCTGTATTGCCCCTCTCTGTTGTTCCTACTGCCCAGAGATCTCTATGAATGGCCCATTCCTGCCTATCAAGGGCCTGATTCAAATCTGACCTACACCATTGTAAATGAGGATGAAAGAAGAGAATTCACAAGGCCTGAGTCTCCCTTGCTTTGTATTGTTATTAGCACCTAGGAGGCCCAGTCATGGAGTAGGACCTCACTATGCTAGGCGCTGTACAAACCAAACAAAAAGACAGCCCCTGCCCCAGAGAGCTGACACTCACCTGTCCCGCCCTGGCTCGATGAAAGCTTGCAACATGCTTTGATCACCCGAAGTGCTGAGCAGTGCCACCCAGCTTGGTCTTTGTTTCTTAATAGTTGCTGGTCCGTGAACGTTTAGAAATAGTGTCCAATGGGGCTTCTCCGGGACCGTGCTTGGGCTTCTGAGCCACATAAGCTTTGCTGCCTCTAATTCTCTCGCTCAGTCGTGCGGCTAATTTCTTCTCCACCGGAAAACTACCCCATGGCCAAGCTCTGAATCTGCTACCTATCCAAGGAGCAGCAACGTCTACCTCATGCACACATCCCGTTGGGTTAAACCTTCCCCCTTGACTCAGCCGTGGCAGGATTCTCTGTTCTACTGCACAGCCTTGCTCCAGAACAGAGCGCGCTCATTCCACATGCAACCCCCGTTTGAATGGCAAGTGGAGAATCTTTATTGTGCAAGGCTAAGTACACAGCCCGGCACATCCGTTGCATCTGTCTGATACAGGGAGCGTGCTCCTACGAGCATTACACCTGATTCACCAGACATGGGCTCCAGCCATCACATGTAGGAGGGATAGTTTGTGAGAAATTAATTATTCATCAGCAATTGGTCTCTTTTCCTGTCTGCGAAATATTCGCAAGGAGGTTGGGAAATGCTCAGACGCATTCGCTGTTCACAATTGTCCCTCCATAGGTCTATTTCTGCCCCATGTCCTCACACTGAGCAGTCCCGTCCCACCCCACTGCTTTCTGGAGTTGGGTTGTACCCTCAGAGCATCCCAATGAGCATGGATTTGCTCCCCACTGAGCCTATAGTTAGCACTTACCCTTCAAGAATCCCCATTAAGCCATGGATTGCATACTCACTTTTTCATTACCAAGCCTCTCGTGGGCTGCAGAGTTGGAAGTCCCCTGCTTGAGTTTCCCTCGTTGGAAATGATGCTGGAGCCAAGGGACTTGTGGGAGTCACTCTGGAGTTTCCACAGAGGATGGTGGGAGTTTGGCCTCTCCTCCCACAGTTCCCTCGGGTGGCCATCTGGATTCCCACAAGGTCCTTCAAAATCACTCAGAAGGCATTGCTACTGAGCTGTGTACATGGAACTCTAGGATTGCTATCCCAGAGGGCAGTGCAGCTGAGTGGATGTAGAACACTGTGATACAGTCTTCAATTACATGGTCACATACTCTTTTTCCATAGGGCCCCTCTTTGGAGATTTTGGAGAATTTAAGCTGCCAAACTCCAACATATCTCTATCTCCACTGAGCATGTGTGAACTGAGATTTTCAGAGGCTCATAACCTGGCCAAATTTGGGTGAATTTTTACATGGATGGTAAAAGACGCATCCCCTGCTCCAGGGCGACCCGCACCCCAAATTTCAACTCCTTCATTGAAAGTATGGTAGTACTAGAGCTACTCAATGAAAGCAGGTACGAATTTTTTTTTTTAAAACATTGGCAAAGCAATGTATTCCCCCCTAGCCTCATTCCTTGAAATGGCCAAACTATTTAAGCTGAAACTTTAAAAAAAAAAAATCAGCTTGGGGTAGACAGTCATCATGAAAAATTTCAGCCTGAATAGTTAGATCGGCAAAGCTATAAGCAACTCAAACAAGGTCTTACAACAGAAATTATGATCCGTTCCAATGATAATAAAGGACCCACAACTCAAGTTAACATCAACGGAAGCTGCAGCACCTCTGAAAATTGGTCCCCTAAATATGTCCAAGCATGTCCGCCCCCTAGCTCTAGTCGCAAGAAGGCCAAGCTCAACAAATGATCTATTTACAAACCAGCAATTTTTATTTTATACAAACTTGCAAGGTACAAATGCATTTTTTCCCTTGTGTGAGATTGGATCTTTTAAGTAGCTACATCTAAAACAAATGCTGTTGGGAAAAATACAAAGCAAACTACCACTGATTTAATTACTGGGAAGATTGGGGTGAAGAATTCAAGCTGCTGAAACGCGACAGCCATTTGACCATGGTCTCTTCGATCTAATGTTATAGTAGTTGTCATCTAAGGTCACTTTTATACAGAAAGAAAGACAGCAACATCACATTGTTTCTTGGATAATTTTATTTGTCTAACACTAGCAAAAATCTAATTTTTGCCACTCCTCCCACCCCCCCAAAAAATAATGTGCATAAATAGATTTTTTTTTTTTGTAGTTTTTTTTTTTTTTTTTTTTTTACAAGAGTCGCTGGTATATGAAGGTGTTATGAAAAATAACCAAAATAAAATTAAAATAATTAAAAACCACAGTTCCACAATACTGTAATATTGTGATCCTCAGCCACGCCACTGAGAGCTCACAGCTTGTAACTTTGGAAACTCTTAAAGTGACAGTAGCAGGGATTGGTCACAGACACTACGTTGTTATTCGCATAGTGGGGAGGTTTCCTCGCTGTCCCCTCTACATCTACTAGGTCGTGCCTTAATGCCAGGAAGGTTCTTTTTAGGAGCTCCCTGTGTCCTTCGTGGGAATCCCTAGGCCTTTCAAGGGTGCTTACCAGTGGGGTTGCCTTGCTCCCCCACCCCTTCCCTTAAATGTACCCTCCCCTAGGAACTGTGTTGTCGGAGCTGAGATGCAGGAGAGCCCTGTTCATGATGGGAGACTGGACTGACTGGAGAGTCAAGGGGGAGCCCATTGGGGGGCTGACACTCTGGTGGGAACTCCAAGTTGTCTCTTGGTTCCATCCATGATGCAAAGGCCACTAATGTCAGTGAGTGTCTTTCCATTGATGTTGGTGGGTTTTCAATTGGGCCGCTAGAAACAATCCTCCTGACCGTCCAACCTCTCTCCTGCCTCTGCTCAGCTCCTGCACCCCAGTTTGGTCCTGGGGGTTCTCCTAGCTTGGCTGCATTTTTCGCAGTTCAGCCACCCCCTTTTACATCTGGGGGCACATTCACAGCAAAGAAAGGCACATCCACCATGCAGAGACCATCCTCCCTGGGCTTATGCCCTGGCGTATACACTTCGGGTGTATTGGTGAGGTTAGCAGCTGGGCTACTGATAGGCAGCCCTCTGCACTAGTCACACCATCACAGAGAAACCATTCACAAAAACAAAAGGGAGGTAAAAATGTAACATTGAAACTCAAGATTAAAAATCCCACATACAGTCACAAGGATCCATGACTGACAGCTGCGTACCAGCAAGACATCCTCTGCAATCCCCAATACGGTACAGTCCTATATGTCTTCATATACTGTGCCTAGACGACCAGCTTTTCAGCATATGCAAATCAGCCTCGCTCTAATGACTTCAGAACGATCCCAATTTACACCAGCTGAGGACCTGGTCATATACAGAGTGCTACCTATTCAGTAACAGGGAAATAAATGCATCATTTCTCAAAACTTACAGTTTTTATATTTTATTTTAAATAAATTTGCTTTTAATAAAAGCAGAAAATATATATATGTATATTTAAATAGGTCTTTTTTTTTTTTTCTGATGAACTGGCAAAGAATCTCCTTTTATAACTCTCTGGCGGGGCTGATGCCAAGAGCCCAGCAGAAAGAGAAAGAGAGAGAGAGAGAAAGTTAGCACAAAACAGTACCACCCGGAAAAGGAGAGAAAAACAAATATATATATATATTATATAAATGTATAATTTCCATAAAACATATATTAAGGCATGTATAGCAAAATAAAGGGCCAGCTTTATGAGCGAACAGGGGCTGTTTGGGATTCCATTATGGGAGCAGGACTATTTTATCCCCCAGGGATGTTATATGTATTGCTAAAAGAAAGGAAGAAAGATTGATTCATAGATCTGATTCTGGGGAAAGTTCTGTCTCCTGGGATGTTTTGTGTATTGCCAAAATTAAAAGCAGACAGATAATCTAAGGAGATGCTAGATAGATCCATTGGGCAGAGAGGTTCTGTTTCCTTGGATTTTATGTGTATTGCCAAACTAGAAAGAAAAATTGATTCACAGGCTACAGCAGGCAGGCAGCCAGCTAGCTCCCATTTCACTCAACTGGTGGCATGGCTGGGAAGAAGTAGAAATCTTGTTAGGTGCTGAGCATTTGCACCTTCTCTATATTTCAGCTGGAGATGTGAGTTCTCAGATGCAATCAGGATCAGGCCAATGGAGAAAGAAAGCTAAGAAATAGATTGAGCTTGATTGCGCATCTCCATTGCGTTGCCTTTTTCAGAACTATCATTTGGAGTTTCAAGTGCTGGGACAAAACAGTTCTTCCTCCATGTAGTGAATTGACAGAGCCCCAGTCTCTAGTATAAGGTACAGAGCTTGATTGTCCACTCCTACACTCTGCTCTGAATTTATTTTGTCTTCATTTGAGTTAATCCTGATTTGCACCAGTGTAGGTAAGAGCAGTGTAGTAAAGGTGCAGAAGTCCAATACTGTCTGATGTTAGAACAGGGCATCTAACTGTACTGGAAAGTCCATAGGAAGAGGGATTCTTGACAGAGGAGCTCAGATAATATTCACAGCAACACTGGGAAAGCTCGACACTTGAGGCTTTCCTATTTCAGGTCAGTTTCGTTACACCAGATCATTTTGCATGCAGCCAGCAACATTTCACAGCTTTGCACTTGAAAAAGTAGATTTTGGAACGAAAAAGCAAGCCCATATTCAACCCAGATTGGTCTTAATTTTGAGCGTAGGCTTCAATTCCAGATTTGGGAATTTTAAAATTCCATTCTAGCAAAAAAATTAAATAGATTTTCAGGTTTCAATACAAAACCTGTCAATTTCACTGAGAATTCAAGGAAAATAATATTGCTGGGATTCCCCTCCCCCCCCAAAAAAGGGGGTCTGGAATGAAATTGCAAGTATTTTTTGTGAAACACAGGGTCCAATTTCCAAAAGAATTCATCTCCCACTTAGGCACCAAAATAAGTGGCCAGATTTTCAGTGCTGTTTTGAAAATCTGCCCATCAATATCACAGCGGTAGCTGCCGGGTGTGGGCACTTTTAAAAATCTTGCCCATGTTTAAGTACCTAAATGGGAGCTGAGCACTTGCAAATCCACTGCGTGGTGGAAAATACATTTGCATTTGCATGCAGCCCTAATTTTGAGAAGGGACAAGGAAACTAACTTGGACAGATAGAAGAAACCTCCATCCTCCAAACCATTGCTTGAACTGAGCTGAGGTCTAGATGGACCTTCTCACTTATGAGTTTCCATTGGGAAGCAGCAGTGCTGAAATAATGCTAGATTCTGCAGACCCCAATGGTTCAGGTAGTTCTGACAAGCTTCAGAAGAGCAGCCAACCTCTTGGATGCTTCTCTGAACTAGATCTCTTCCATCACCCCTGATACGTCCCCCCGAGATGATGATTCTCTCAATGTATTGGGGGGAAACAATGAAGACACATCTGGAAGAGCAGGCTCATCTCATAAGGTACTGCAGGAACGGAGACGGTGTAGCAGTGACTCAGCACCATGCACACCTGATCTCAGTTATTCCAAAACGGCAGAGGAACTAGTCTAGCTCTCTGTTCTTCAGGAGAAAAGAATTTCCAGGGTATGCGTGTCTCAGTACAGTGAGTTACGAGTGTCAGTTGCCTGCGTGCCGTTTCACATGCAAACATAGCAGGGAACCATAGAAGTTAGAGATGGGTATCTAGTCCCTTTCCCAAAGGCCAGCACAGGATTGTTCTCTATGCAGGGATTGCCAGACCAGGAGGCCATCCAGTGCAGTAGCCCATGTCTCCAGTAGCAGCTGCTCAGAGAAAGGTGCAAGAACCCTGCAGTGGGCAATTATGGAATCACCTGTCCGTGGGGAAGCTTCTCCCTTGTCCCATCCATAAGAAGTTGGCTTCTAGCCTGAAAGCAGAAGGGATTAGATCCCCTCCCAGCTATGCTCCTATTCCCTTGGGCCTCACAGCTCTGGTGTCCCCTCCATTTTGGGGTCAAGGCAGTGCTTTCCAGATGGAGGCAAGAGACAGTGACAGCATCAACATGGTACCTGCCAAGACACTGCAGGAAATGCCCCTCTAGGTCCACTCAAGGCCATTCAGGACTAGATATCAAGAGTTAGATGGGGCACTCAGATCCAAGGTGATAAGATGCCCAAGAAATGCCACGGACAGCGAGAGACTGCTGTTCCCTCAGCCACTTCTCCAGCGTTTTGCTCAATCTAGTATTAAGTATCTGGGCAGCAGCCCCCGATTGGAGAGCGAGAGAGAGCGTGTGTGTGTGTGTGTGTGTCGTTCACCCCACTCCCATCCCCATAAAAATGCAAGAAATGAGCATTGCGCTGGGTAAAACAAAACTCTGCGGAAGGGCACCTGTTGCTACCATCCAGAACCTGCTCTGGTCCAAGAGAAAAAAGTATCCCGAAGCCTGTCTCCCTTTCTTCTTGTCGTCTCTATGTGCAAACGGATCCCTCCTGTCCCCAGAAAGCATCCAGGCTTCGCCTGGTCACCACCACCAGCCACTTGGGCTCTCCTAACCCCGTCCCCCTGTATCTTTCAGCTAATTCCCTTACTACATGTCCACATACATTGCACAGACCTGCTGTTCCACACCACCCTTCGCCCTGGGAGGTGAAACACTAGTATTTCACAGATACAGCCATGTCCTCTTAATTTTGCAGATCCCATAACCTCTCCCATTTTCTGCCCAGGAGCCTTTTCCCTCCTTGGCTCCTGTTTCCATCTGTCCATCCCAGATGCCCGCTCCTTCCTTCCCGTGGATGCGCATGAGCGTGAGTGGAGAAACGTGGCTGGGCCAGGTTTCACGGGTGGCTAGCTCCAGAGATGAAAGATGCTAGTAGCCGATCCAGGCCAAGGCCTGGGGAGGTGGAAGGGGTGTGGAGAATGGAGATGGGGTGCTCACGTCAGTGGAGGGCAAGAGCAAGCTCCAACTGCAGCGACGGCTCGGTCCCCGTGCAAAAGCCCCTTCGGGACACGAGCTTTGGGAGACAAATGTTTCAGTGCGGGAAGCAAAGGGAAACGCCCCAGCCTCCAGTGAGACACCATCCCCTCGATGAGATATTCCGGCCATGGAACAGCCTGGTGGGTAGCTGCCAGATCCCCTGCCCTGAAGTTCACGCCGGCTGTGGAGTGGGCCCATCTCCCAGACTGCAACAGATCTCACGCAAAACGTCCATCATTGTAGTAGCAGTGATTTACCAGCGCCTCTCTGCCACTCTGTGCTCCAGCAGGCAGCCCACCCACGGCACTTCCTCCTGGGATGGTACACGGCCAGTTGGGGGGACCGGTGCAGAGAAAAGGCTCCCGTGTTCTCCTTGGCGACAGGTGCCGACGCACAGCATCTTCGTCCTGGACGATCTCACCGTTGGTTAGTGGCAGGGGTTCGGGGAGAACCGAAAGCGATGAGCGAGGAAAGGTTTGGTTGTCTACTCGGGACGCGCATGTTTGTGTGTTAAAACGTGGCTCCGTGGAACTTCACAGCGTTCACAGCAGCCAGGGCTTGTGCTGGAGGGAGGAGAGGAGAGGAGAGAAGGAGTGAGAAAGCTGAGCCCTCTAACCGCCGGGAAGCGTGGCAGAGCTGCACCTGCTTCACGCCCCAGGGCAGGAACGCTCAGGAGCAAACGGGATTTTTGTCCACTCTTGAAAAAAATAAAATGACCCTTTTTAGGCCTGGTCTGTACTGAGGATTCGACCCAGACACAGTCACCTCAACTGCTGCACAAATGCAAAGCCGGGGTAAGCAGAGAGACGCCACAATCTCCACCTGTGCAAACCAGGGGGCTCTGCACCCCTGCAAACCACACTGCGCTGGGGTATCTATGCCAGGGGTGTGCAGTGCTGCTGCTCCACCTATGGCTAAAATCCCAGGGCAGAAAAGGCTGTTTGGTAACTGGCCACTTTCACCAAAAAGAATTAGGGACGTTTTGGAGGTAATCTAGTACTGGCGACAGGAGCTGGGCCAACAGCCATGGAAAATAGGCTCCACTATTCATCCGCAGAGCAGGTCCAGCACAAGCAGCCTTTCTGCCCGCGCTGCCCTGCTAATGGGCCTCAGCCCAGCCCCGGAGGGCTGTCCCCTAGGGATGGGAGGAGAATTCCGTCTCCATGGCCATTTAGTCCCCAACATCTCTGCTGAGGCTGCTGACAAGTCAGTGCCAGCTCGGTGCTGTGTGTCCACTAGCACCTGCACTGAGAACCCACCAATCTCATCTCACACAGGCCAACACAGCCACCAGATTGTACCAGCTTCCAGTGACTCACTACTGACTTGGCCTGGATTTGAACCTGTTACCTAGAGGCAAAGGGTTTCTGGAGCTCATGCTCATCCTGTCTCCTTGGTTTTTGGCCATCATTCCCAATGTCTGTTATTTACATGGCTTTGTCTATGCAGTGAAAGGAACCAGTCTCTCTCGGTGCAGGATGTGTCATTTTTCTTGCCTGTTTTCTCCTCTAATTTGCACCCTTGGCTTTCCGCTGGGGTCACTTCTAATTTACAAGTATCAAAGGGGTAGCCATGTTAGTCTGGATCTGTAAAAGCAGCAAACAGTCCTGTGGCACCTTATAGACTAACAGCCGTATAGGAGCATGAGCTTTCGTGGGTGACATCCGAAGCTTTCACATGCATCCGAAGAAGTGGGTATTCACCCACGAAAGCTCACGCTCCTATACGTCTGTTAGTCTATAAGGTGCCACAGGACTCTTTGCTGCTTCTAATTTACAGTGGATCTAAGCGAGGCGAGAATTTGGCCCACAACATCCATGCAATGCATGGCAAAAGTAGGCTTTGGCGTAGCCAGGACCCACTTAGTCCTGGAATGGGCAGAAACCACCTGCTCCCATCCAGCTGGGCTGCATTCTACCAAGTAATCGAGTCCTTAGTACAACTTAGCTACACCATTAGCTTTTCCTTTGTGCTCAGAAGGAAATCCTGGAGAAAACTCTTGATCCCGAAGAGGGATGGGGCCAGCTCCTCCACTGGTGGAAAGCAGTGTAGCAGGGTGGATAAAAATCAATGATTTTAAAAATGGACTTTTTAAAAATTTAAATCAATTTTTTAAAAATGTAAATTCAATACATTGTTCTTTTAAAAAATAAATGTATTTAAAATTAAAAGTGAAATTATGACAACCTACGTTCAGGCCTAAACTTACTATAGAGGATTCAAATAATTTAATTTAAATAAAAAATATAATATTCAAGCAGTGCAAGTTTGCTGCCGAAGTTCTTAGAGAAAGTCAAAGCACTGAACTGGTTGAAGTCACTGGCTAAGCATCTGGAACCTGAAGTGCAAAACTAGCTTTTGACAGCAGTAGTCTCTTCTGCAGGTGCAGAGATATTATTTTCTTCACTTCAGTTTATTCAGTTAGTTCAGTTTAATGACTAATGCATTCAAAGCTGAGAAACCAACTAGAAATTGAAAGAACACGCAACTTTGCTCTCCTCTTCCAGCTATGACTAAAAACAAGGTGTAAGAGGATCAGATCTACTAGTTCTAAAATCATGATGGACAAGGTGTCCAGAAGCAATCAGGGCTATTCACTAACTACAGTTGATGCTTCCTTTGTTTGTCAAAACATGTTTTGCATTTAAAACTGATTTATTAAACTTTTTTTCTTACGTATTCGGCACATTCAAGGTACTCTTATTTAACTAATAAAAACATTTTTAAATGTTCTTCTTGTGGCTTTTAAATTGAATTCTAATTTTCCTCCAATTAGCTTGGCACAAATCATGAGTAAAAATGAATCATCATCTAGTACATAAGAAATGCTTCATTCCCCATTTCCTAACATCATAAAAAACTACAATTCTGAATAAACGTATGGTAAGCAATATAACTGCTCAAAATAAATGTGTATGGATATAGTGTAACATCCTGGTTAGCAAAAAGAAGTACCAAATTATACCAACCAATGAGAATCAACTTTATAATAAGTAAATAACTGAAAGGTATAAATGCAAAACAAAAATTAAAATTGGTTACTTAAATCAGGGTTTGTTGATTTAAAATCACTGTGATTTAAAATCACTGTGATTTAAATCAATCCACCCTGCAGGACAGTTCCATTGACTTTAGTGGAGCTATGCCAGTTTATCCTAGTGGAGGATCTGACCCAGGGACTCAAAACAAGGTCCTGGACCCTCAGTGTTTCAAGTTCTAAGCCCCTTGTGCTTGTTCCATGGGAGTAGACTGGGCTAACGTGGCAGAGGAGAGTGTTAGCTCGGTGAGAAGCAACGTATGAATGGATGGGAAGAGGAGACTCTTGAGTGAGGTTCTCCCCGTCACCCCTGGAGGCTGAGATGTACAGAGGATGAGATGAAGTACAATAGAAAAGGTGCTTACTTCATGGTTCAGACACGCATAAAATGGCTGCTGTCGGCGACCCGGGATGACTCAGACGAGAGGGGATTTGTCGGTGGAGTCGGGGAGGCTGGGGAAGAGGGAGGACTCGGGGTGGCACATTGAGCTGGAAACAAGAAAGGGAAAAGGACGTGAAGAACACAGCGCTGCAGCTGGCAAGGGGAGAAAGGACAAAGCAGGGAGCAAATTCCAGAGGAAGGCAGAGAGGTTAGAGACGACAGGGGAATATAAAAGAGGAAGGAAGCATGGTCAGAAACAACAGATACACACAAATGGTTCCCCCACAGCATGCACACGTGAGCTCCACACTGGGATCCTCATGGACTTAGGCAAAGATGGGAGGCAGCGCCTATTTGCAGGGAGATGGGCATGGGCCACAGCACCCCATTGCTAGTACAGCCCCCCACAACGCACTGCACGCACCAGGGCTCAGGCGTCTCCTAGTCTGCTCTAGAGCTGGGGCGAGACAGCGCAAAGCTTTTTGACCAGAAAAGGATGGATGACGTTTGTGACAAGTTTTGCAAAAAATGTAGTTTTGAAATTTTTTGACAGAGAAAAAGGGTTAATTTTTTTCATAAGATTTCCCCCCAAACACATCCCTTTCTTCAGCTGGTTCTACTCAAGGCCCCTGCAGAATGCCACTGTTCCATTGAAGATCCTGGGAAACAGGCCCTTCCAGAGAGATGCCCAACCCAACCGCCTCCATCCAACATACACCATATTCTAGTCTGGTCTAGCTACATACACAGTTCCCTTTGCCGTATTATCTGAGCGCCTCACAATATCCCCACAACATTCCTGTCAGGAAGGGCGGCCCTACCCTCACCACTGGGCCATCCTCCCTCTCTTCATGCACAATCCCTTCCATCCAACATCGCTCATCATCTCCACATGCGTTGGAGGCTGCCCCATCTTCCCATCTAGTTTTTGCCGCGTGAGTAATGCTTTGTAGTCACCAGCTGGCTAGCCCAGAAGCAGGGATCTCCAGGCACAGATGTGCTTCAGCGGCAAGAGCTGAGGGTTTGCAGCTTTCAAAAGCTTCACGGTTGAATAGTGCCAATGCAAAAATAAGATGTGTCAGCCCAGGGAGGACAGGTGCAGACCACCAAGCATTGAGAGTAAAAATCTGGTGCGACTCCACTGACATCAATGGGCCAGATCCTCTGCTGGTGTATACTAGTGTAGCTTCACTGACGTCAGTGATTTACACCAGCGGAGGATCTGGCCCACTAGAGTTTCACCGCTGTAAGTGAAAGGAGAACAAGACCCTCTACTGCAGGGATTCTCAGACTGGGGGTTGGGACCCCTCAGGGGGTCACGAGGTTATTACATGGGGGGGGTTGCGAGCTGTCAACCTCCATCCCAAACCCCGCTTTGCCTCCAGCATTTATAATGGTGTTAAATATATAAAAAAGTGTTTTTAATTTATAAGGGGGGGGGTCGCACTGAGAGGCTTGCTATGTGAAAGGGGTCACCAGTACAAAAGTTTGAGAGCCACTGCTCTACTGTCTATTCTCTGCCCTTGTCTGTTCATGGATGACGCCCGTTGAAGTTCACAGAAGTACTATGCATGACCAAGGACAGCATTGAGAGTCAGAGTTCCACCTATTTACCACAGCTGCGGATCTGGCCCATTACATATGTGCATATGGTATGAATACAGGGGCCCCGATTCTGCTCCTACATGCGTGTCATTTCACTGACTTCAGTGGCATTATTCCTGATTTACACAGGGGGGAGAGGCAAGTCACACCCGTTGTTATTACTGGAATTGCCGGGGGGGAGTCGACAGGATTGATCTACCATGGCGCTACTTCAGTTTTACACTGGTGTAACTCCACTGATTTCAGTACAGGAAAATGGAATAGCCCAGTGGTGGATCTGCCTCTGTGGGCCAGATTCTTAGCTGGTGCAAATGGGCATGGCTCTATCAAAATGATGGGAGTTACCCCAATTTACACCAGCTGAGGATCTTGGCCTATGTACCTATCAATCTTATTTCTAAAGGCCCTTTCACTATATCTCGCCTTTTGCCTACACCCCACTCCTGCCAGGTGCCTTGCCTGGTCATCCCTAACACTCATTTTACCCTGAGTTCAGTCTTCTGCCCTTAATGCAGGTAAATCCATAATCATTAGGAATTGTCCATGTCATTAGTACCCACCTGGCTTTGGTCTGCCCCTTCTTGACTTAGGCATCTCCTGTGCCTCATTTTTTTACCATGAAACTGCAGTTCTTTGCCTCCTGAGTGCCTTACCGGAGAGCATGCGGCCCAGCCTGGAGGCTTCTGTAGCCAAGGTGCAGGATATCTCTATCCTCTTCTCCTGCTCCTGGAGCTGGGTTTCTGCATCCTGGGGCACGTCCACCTCTCCCTCGCTTAGAGGGATCACATTCTGCAAGCTGCAGCAGAGAGAGTTTGGTGTTACCGCCCCCTTGCCCCCAGAGCGATGGCCCGGCCCGAAATACAGGGCGTGCTCACAAAGATGCGGGATGTGACCTGGCAGAACGACAGGGTGAGCAGGTAGAAGAATAGGTGGACGAGATGAATGGGTGGAGGGGAGGGGGAGTGGATGCATGAGTGGAATGGCAGATAGATGGATGGCTGGATGGCCGAGGAATTTAATGAGTTAGTGGGCAAATGAATAGATGAATCAGGTGGCTCCATAGCTAAGTGAATGGATTTGCAGGTGCACGGAGGGAGGGCGGACAGACAAACAGCGGCTGTAGTGGATGGGTGGAAGGTCAGACACGGGCACGAGAGAGAAGGTACGATGGAGGAGGCGGTGGTGTGGCACAGCCGGTGCTGAAATGGGCACAGAACAGCACCATCACCTGGATTTGGCAATGAGCGTCTTTATCCTTTCCACTTTCTTCTGCTTCTCCTTCATCTCTTCAGGACTTAGTGGGGTGTCCGGTTCCAGCTCAATGTACCGCTCCGGAATGAGGACCTTGTCTGGGGTAGAGAGCTAGAAGGAGGCAAAAGCAGGTTTTAAGTCCAGGGGTCTGAAGGCAACATGGGCATTCTGTAACTGCACGCATAGAGGAGCGCACAGCAGCCAGCATCGGTCCCTTCTCCAGCCCCCAGTCCCTCCTTCAGGGCTCACCCAGCCTGTGCTAGGACACCCATATATCACCAGTTCCTGCTCCAGCAACTCTCTGTAATCCAGAACCAGCACAACACCCATCCCTGGCCCAGAACCCACATGACACCCACCCTACACTGCATTCTTCTCTGTGCAGTGCCCAGCCCTGGTGTCTGCTCCAGCCCCCAGTCCCAGGCTATAGGACATAAGAGCCCGGGCAAGACAAATGCCTAGAGGGACCTGTCCCTTCAGCCCAGGCACCATTTTCTCCTGCCTGTCCTGGGCCCATGTCATCTCAGAGGTGCTGTCTCCCCCCACCATGTACACGGTCTCCATAGCAACCTGCCCCCATTGCCATCCTTAAGGTGTGTTGCTCCAGTGGGGCCAGGCCTCACCTCCTTACTGATGTCGACATCATAGTGCTGTGGCTCCAGCTCCATCTTGCGTAGCCGGGCGATCTCCTCCCTCGGTGTCTCGTAGACTTTGCCAGAGTCCTCGGTGCGCAGCGCTGCCTCCAGGTCGGAGATGTCCACTTCATGGATGCTGCGGTGTCGGCGCACCTGGAACGGGCCACAGAGCTGCCACCTCAGAGCCAGGACGGTCCGCCAGCAGGGTCACGCCCCTGCTGGCTCACAGAGAGGGTGCGCAGGACTCACAAATGCAAGAGCTGGCTCAGTCTCGCTGGCCTCTGCCCCCCCTTCCTCACCCACTCCTCTAGAAACCCCAGGGTTCGTTCTGTCCGTCCATCCGAGCCCATCACCATAGCCTCAGAGCGACTCCCACACCTGCCTTCCCCTGGTAAGCACTTCCCTATATCCCCATCTCTCACCTCCTTCAAGCACCCCACAAAGGGCTTTCCTCACGCCCCACCGGTTTTGCCCTTCATGCCCCCAAACATCTGACTATTGACTCATCACAGGCCCCAGCCTTAGTAATAACTATACCATCTGGTTCTTCTGCAGTACTTTCCATCAGTACATCTCAAAGCACTTTTCAGAGGAAGACAGTATCATTAGCCCCAATTTACAGATGGGGAAACTGAGGCACGGGGAGGGGAAGTGACTCACCCACGGTCACTCAGTGGACCAGTGGCAAAGCTGGGAAGAGAACCAGGTCTCCCAAGTCCCAGTCCAGCGCTCTAGACATTAAACCAGACTGCCTCCAGGCAAATCCAAACAGGGCCTTTTGGTCAAGGGAGGACTTGCAATCCTGGATCTGAAAACCCTCTTCCCGGGAGAGGGCAGGGACTAATCCACGCCAAGGGAGTTGGTCCAGAAACCCCAGAGGAGCCCGGGGACTGGACAAGCTCAGAGATGTTGTTCTGAGGCAGGCCTGTGGGATAAATGCAAATACCACTCCCAAACCTGACGACTGCCATGGGAAGACCTTACCACTTTGTATGACGCGGGTGCCTTCGTGCTGGGAGCGTCTGGCTGCTGATTGGCTGGGAGCTGCAAACTCCGCCTTTTTTCCTTCATGGATCCACTTTGGTGGCGTTTCATCCGGTCGATCTGCTCCTCCACGCTCATTTTTGCCTTCATCTCATTGGAGAACACGGCGCTTTTTGGCCTCTCCTGGGGAGAATCCAAAAAGCCCCATGGTTACAGAAGGGCCGCAGCGTGGGTTAGGACCCTAGTGTCCCCCAGTAGTGGGTTCAGCCGTGGCATAGGACATCAATGCCATGAGGCTGCTGCTCTCCGCTTGCTGTCTAGGGGAAAGGTTTCTACGCGAGACAATTAGTGTCTCAGCAGCTGTTCCTGGGAAGCCCAGGATGGGAAGAGCACGGGGGCTGGACTGAAGAGCATCAGCAGAGTTGTGGCGGAGGGGAGCGCAGGGCTGGGCTAGCAGGGGGCCGTGGGTTGGGATTGAAGGGCACTGGCAGAGCGGTGTGTGTTGGTGGGGATGGGAGGGCTGGTCAGGAGAGAAGCACCGTGGGTGGGACACAGCGGGACGGAGAAGCCCCGGCTCGGCTGTGGGGCAGCCAGGGAGGCGCAGACAGACACTGAACTGGAGCTCAGACATTCAGACCAAGTTCAATATCCGGGGGAAGGATTCCCAGGCCTTGCAGGGTCAGGCAGACGCTAATCCGGTTAGGGAAGCCGGGGGTTCTGCACAGGTGGCATTTCCTGCAAAGGGCTTCAAACACCACCTCCTTGGGTCAACACAGCTCAGACAAACTCCTGTGCCTCTCACAGTCCCTCTCCTGAATGCTCCAGGGAAGCTGGCAAATGGGCTGTGAGCCAGACACCTCCTATGGGCTTCCTTTATTTTATCCCAGTCTCTTCCACCTCTGCACCCGTCCCACCTCCCAGGAGCCCATTCCAGCACCCTGTACAATCTCCCATCTCCTACCCCAGCCCCGATCCACATCCCTGCATCCCCTCTACTTCCCCCCCGGGCCCTGCCCCCCATCCCAGGATCCCCAGTGACGTGCAAAGCAGAGAGCCGCAGCCTACCCGGGAGCTCAGTCCGTTGGACATGTTGCTGGTGCTCCTCCTGATCACTCCCGAAGTGGGTGCTGAGTCCTCATCGGTGGGAGACTTGGTCCTCGGGGGAACGATGCCAACTGGGGAGAAGCAGAAGAGAAGGTAAATGCTTGAACCCAAATCAGTTGGCTACCCATGGGCCCCATGCTGGTTTGGGACCTGGCAAGAGTTCCCCTGAGCTGAAGGTTGCCTGGGTGGTTCACTGCTCCCTGCCCTCTCTCTTCACTGCTCATCTTTGCTGGGTGCAGAGGATGTGCTCACACCGCCGCTGGCGGGGGGTGGCTGCGTACTCACTGTGTACTCCAGGGGAGTGCTGCCGGGCCACTCGGCACTGGGAATGCGCAAGGAAGGACGCATGGCCCTTCCCTCACACCTTTCCCCTGAGCGTCTCACAGCCCCAGCACCCCAAGAGATTATTATTAAACCCATTTTACAGGGGAGAAACTGAGGCATGGAGCAGGAATGTGACCTCACCCCAAAGTAACACAGTCAGTCAGTGGCAGAGCCAGAAATAGAACCCAGGAGTCCTAACTTCCAACTGCCTGCTGGGATTACTAGCTCAATGCAATCGTACTGTGTGCTTCAGGGGAGCACGCAGGGGAAGGGCTGGGGAGCTGATCTGTTAATGCAGCAAAGAGCCCCCATGGAGGCGCAGAGCCTGAAGGAGTGTCCTCAGACATGGAGGGACCTCGGCATCCCGGAGGCCTGGTGACAGGACCCTGACTCTCCCAGGTGCTGCCGGGTGGAATAGCCTCTATCCAGAGGGGCAGGAGGAAATACTAGGGTAATAGTCTCCTCCCAACTCCCTCCCTGCTTTTCGGTAGCATGCTCCACTGGGTGCAAGCAGATGGCCCCAGTGAGCTCCGAACCCAGCTTACTGCATCCTCTTAAACTGTGCCCTGCACTGATAAGGTACCATGGATTTTGATAGGGAGATCCCCAGCCCCAAAATCCAAGTGGTGAAGCCTTCCTCAGGGGCCATCCAGAGCTTCTACCGGCCACTGCCTCCAGCCCTGATCTCCCCTGCCTGGACTTTATTTATGGTGACAGAGGAGCTGCCGCCCGCCCTGAGATGGCGAGGCCATGGAAGGTACCTTTGTTGAGAGCCGCTTGCTTCTCAGCATCCAGCTCTTGCCTCGTCTGCATGAGCCCAGCCTCTGTGGGTGGGATGGGGGCAGAGCTCCGATGAACCTCTTTCTTATTCTGCTCGAAGCTGGACTTGGACTGCGGAAAGAGAGCGGATTTGCTGGTGAGCAGCTGAGCCGTTCAGGAGGAGCTGTTGGCAGGGCAGCTGGGGAGACACCTTGCCTTCGGACCTCTGCCACTCATTAGCCGGGGGACAGCAGACACAGAGGACACACAGAAAAGACCGAAACACACACACACGAACGAAATAGCAATCGGGAGAGGCACCTAGGCAGGTTTTCATTTTGATCAACACCCTCCCCCCCCCAGCCCAGACACACTCAAAGCACAAGATCCAGTCGTCTGGACAGAGAGAAAGACAAAATCCAGGCTGGGCTTGGAGCTGCAGAGCCATAACCAGGCATGGTCTGGGACACCCATTTGCACCAAAGCGTTGAAGGTTGGGGCTACGGTGGGTCGGGGTCAGCTGTCCTGGCCTTGCCCCATCTCTCGGCAGGATCGTGACTGAACTAGTTTGTGCAGGATATTTTGCTCACCTTGTGAAATACGAGACACGTTTGCCCCATGGTCAGACCCTTTGCTATTTTTCTTTTGCGTTTGGGAATGTGGACGTAGTCTCCTGGGATCTGACCCAAAGCCCTCTGAAGTCAATGGAAAGATTCCCACTGATTTCCACGGGCCGTGCATCAGCCCGAGGTTGCTGACTGAAAGCCTGAACTAACGCTCACTAAAGTCTGTGGAAAGACTCCCATTAACTCCAGCGGGATTTGGGTTGGGCTGCTGCGCTCCAGACCCCACACTTTAACCACAGGGATGGTTAACCAAAGCTTATGTATGTGGTGATCCATGAACTAGAGCTGGGAGACGCTCAAGTGATTTGGGCTCTTCAGGCTGGATGAGCCAGTAACTCTGGATCCTGCTCCCCAGTCTGGGAAGTTCATGAGTCTGCAAAGCAGGGACAGGAGGCTGCACGGATGAGCCACATAGCTTTAGAAAAATAAGGTTCTGACCACCACACCCTGAAGAGCAGCAGGGGCCCAGAGAAGGGTTCCCCTGTAGGTCTATTCCTCTACCCGTCTTCCCACAATGTCTGCAATGAACCTGCTCAAGTTCATCTTCCTCCTGCTTCCATTTCAGCTCAGACAACATTCCCCGTGGACAAGATCTGGTGCAGTGTGTCAATGAATACAGCAGGAATGGGGGAGTGGGCAAGGTAGGCCATGGGTGTAGAAGAACGAGCCAGCAGGGGTTGCAACCATTACATCAGCCACTTGGACCAAATCCTCTCCCACCCTCAGCCCCAGCTCAGCACCTCCTTGAAACCTTGTAGGGTGACCAGATGTCCTGATATTTTAGGGACAGTCCTGATTTTTGGGTCTTTTTCTTATAATAGGCTCCTATTACCTCCCACCCCCGTCCAGATTTTTCACACTTGCTGTCTGGTCACTCTAAAACCCTGTCTCCTTTCCAAGGGCCTCAGTCAGCTTCATGAGGGTTAGTTAAGTCTCAGAGCGGCCAGCATTCATAACGAGCGCATCTCGGAACATTGTCATCCAAAAACTCCCCAAATGAAAAAGGCTTCTTGACTGAAACCACCCTTTTATCAGAACATTTTCATTTTGGTCAAATCTTTTCCTCTCTCAACAAAACATTTTGACCAAAAAGAAAAACAATTTCAAGGAAAAAATTCCAAGTGAAAATTTCAAAAAAATTTATTTCATTTTGCTGGGAATTCCCCCCCCCCCAATTCTCCTTTTTTCTACTGGAAGGTAACAAAAAAGTTTAAAAATAGGTTTTTCCTTCATTTCTCTCTCTTTCTTTCTTTAAAACCAAACCAAACCCAACCCACCTCCTCTGTTATTTCAGTGGGGGGGGGGGGGGGGGGGGGGGAAAATTTTAAAAATGGGGTTGCCCCGCCCCAAACTAAACAAAACATAATTTTAAATTTTAAAAAAAAAACAACAGAAAATTTAAGGAAAATTTTTGAATGAAATGGAAACATTGTTTCCTTGCAAATATTTGTACAAAATATTCTTATCTTTCCCAGCCAGCTCTATTAACAACCCTGTTAGACACTTGCCAAGCACAGAGCGGGGACACGACTGGCCCCAACATACCCAGCGAGCCAATGACAGAGCTGGAGACAGAACCCAAGAGTCCGGGATCCCCCACAGTCCACTGTGGTTCTTATTTAAGAATCCCCGTTCGTGACATAAAATGCTGAGGCCACAGGGAAGATTAAATATTGCAAAGAGATCCTGTGATGAACTTAAATAGGCCACATTCATCCCCTGGCTTCAACGGGTTCACACCAGTAAAGACTGTGGGCCCAATAGTTCCATCACAAGGCAAATTCTCAAATAACTTTGCCTTGAGTAAACTGCACCCTTCCCAAAAAAGGGATTGCACATGCAACCAGGGAACTGTTTGCACGTTTTAGACAGCGGACTGCAAGCTCAGATAGCTGTTTGCACGCATAGCCGCCTATTTTATATGTGCAGCTACCCAGTTGCATGCGCAAAAAGTCGTCTCCCTGCCCATTTGCATTTATATGTGCAATCTTTGTATGCACATGCACTTATCTGCACTCACAATGAACTAGCTGGTTCATGCTGTTACTTGATGGTGCACGGGCATTGTTTTGCATGCCCAAGTATCCAGCCGCACACACTAGCATGCCTTTCGCGCGTGTGAGATCACTTGGCTACATGCATGCTTGTGCTTTTTTTGTGCGAGTGAGTATTTCGAATTTTACATGTGGGTGTAAAACAGGAGTAACGCACCCGACGTCAGTGCAGTTATGCTGGCATGAGATCAGAATCAGGCCCTGTACCATTACTTCGTTCCAGCCTAGTGCTTGTTTGCAGCTAACAATGGGAAGTGCAATTATCCAGGCTGGAGTAAAGAAAGCCAGCAGGAGAATGGAAGAGAAAAGCAAACAGGAACCAGGCTGCTCAGCGTGTGACGCTGCACATTTGAGTCTCCTCTCCTGCTAGTGTCAGTCAGAAATAAATTGGCTACTCACATCAATGGTGTTACATTGACCCAAGCAAGAATCACAGTGAGGCCAGCAAGAGGCCCTGGACTTCTCCCTCTATCCCCGTGTGGTGGGCTCATAATGGTTGCATCCCTGCACCCTGGCTTTCACAGCATCTCAGTGGCCGGCACAGTATCCCCTTCTCCACACTGAGACGAGACTGGCTTTAAGGGGGTTTCAGAGTATTTGTCTTTGAGCATCAGTCACCCCAGTTCAAATGGATCCATCAGCAGTTTAGCCTAACGGCCTTACCAGAAACGGGCTTGCGTGCACTCTCTGGGCAATGTTTTATGGACCATTGATTTCCACGGACAATGAGAATACTCTGCTCTTGCATGGTGAGTGGCACTATACACTGATCTCAAAGGAGGGCATCATTACCCCCCATTGGACTGATGGGGAAACTGAGGCACGGAGTGAGGCAGTGACTTGCCCATGTTCAGTGGCACAGCTGGGAACAGAACAGAACAGAACTAGTCCAGGCCAGTGCCCTATTCATGAAACAATGCTGCCAGCCAATAAGCCGTTAAGGGGGCAGAGCTCACTAAGTTCCCCAAAGGGGGAGGGATTCGAGTTACAGTACCCACCTTAAAATGCCTGCATGAATCTAGAGTATTTCCCGTTTGACAGGGCCTGGCTGCAGAAAGGGCTCAAGCACTGAAAGCCCCTGCCCGTGCTGGGGGTCTGGATGCCCAGGGTATGCCATGCTTCTCCAGCTTGGCTGAGGGCAGTCACGGAGCTAAGCCCCTCCCTGTCTGTTCCCTGGGGGCAGCTTGCTCCCTATACCGCCCCAGCGTTTGCAGGTGTAGGGAGAGGGTCAGCTCTGCTTTGCCCCCTCCCAGCTATCCCCGTGGCTCTCCCGCTAGCTGGCTCCTGTTCCCAGTGGGGGATGGGGATACTGCGTGCCGCTGGATGCCAAGGTCGGCTCTGGAGGCGCTTGGATACCTGTCCCTTCTTCGCCTCGCCGCTTTGCTGCCAGGAAGGGGAGTTAGAGTATGGCCAGAAGCGGCTCTCGCTAGGGAACGGAGGAACAGTCGGAGGAGACTCCAGAGGGACATACGATTTGGGCAGGGGAGGTCGAGGCGGGCCTGGTTCCTGGGGCAGAGAGGAAGCCAGAGTGTTAGGCGCAACAGCAGAGAAACTGAGAGAACAGGAAGGAAAAGACAGTTAGCAAGAGACAGACAAACAGAGGCACTGAGCCCAGGGTGAGGGCAGCTGGAGCCCAGGGAGTACCGCTGGTCCCACCCCTCCAGGCTGAGCACTCGCTCTGGGACCCAGCAATTCCGACTCGCCCCAACAGCCTAGGGCCCAGACCCACCCATCCAGCAGCCCCTGCTACGTCACAGCTCTCAACAGAGGGACCACTTACCTGGACGTCATGTGTTTACGCCAATGGGAGCCAGGCAGCGTAACCCCACCTGCTGCTGGGAATGAGCCCCCCAGAGAAAGGACACAGCGGGTCCACTCGCCCAGCCCTGGCCATTCTTCCCGTTTTCGGAGGCTGGGCGCTTGCCCTTTGGTTCCGCATCACCGTGAATCTTTGGAACCAGCTGGGCAGACAGCAGCCAATGAGAAGCCCCTCAAAACTAGCTGAACCACAGAGAGAAGCATAACTCGGAGTTCCTCCCTCTCTACCTAGGGAGTGTTCAACGTGCCCAACACGGTGGTATCTAGCCACTGTCGTGGCTTTGTCTGACGGGCTCTGACGAAAGCCAGACTCAAGCCCAAACTAGGAGAGCAGAGAACAATGGGAATGTCTGGGAAAACCCAAGTAAGGGAAACGGATGAGCTGTATGCAGCTCTAGGGTTTCACTAGAGCTGGGCCCGAGCCCAGTCCCCAGGTCTAGGCATCCGTCCCCTTTGGTGTGGTTCAAAGCGGGAACCCAGGTCCCAGTCCCAAGTTTGCAAATGGCCCCAGTTTTACAATGGGCTGCACTAAAACCCTGGTTCTCCATGCCCCAGGACTTCAGGGCATCCGGACCCAAGTCTGCACCCAAAATCTGCACGTCCCACCCTCCCCCAGTCTTCCCAATGGGCCAAACCAAAGCCCCAGGTCCAAATCCACCTCCACTTTGGCCCTGACTTGTGCAGCCTGATCCCAGCTCTAGTTAGAACCCACGGTTCACGTTGTTCTCCCGCGCCATCGGATGAGAAAGCCGGGAGTGCCACCTGCTGGTGCAAAGAGAATCTCAAGAGGAGAAAAGCCACAGACACTTCCTGCCCAGGGCTACATATGCTAGCCCCATGCAACAGCGGCTCCACTCACCTCGCTTGTCCCTTGCTTGGTGGGCGACCCCTGTGAGCCCGACACCAGGGAGAAAGGGCTCAGTGGGCTGGTGAGGCTGGCTGAGCTCAAGGGGCTAGCAGGGCTGTTGGAGCTGTACGTTCCAGAGGGGCCAGCGGCCACTGCGGAGAAACAAGAGAGGAGAGAGTGGAAGTGAGTGTGCAGCTCATTCCCACTGAGCAAGGGGGGCTGGCACAGCAGGGAAGGGGCCAATGAACCAGGGCCTGGGGCTTCAGAGCAGCATTCGACACCAGGCCAGAGGCCAATGTGCCCAGGATGGTCATTGCTGGTGCAGGTATCTATACAGGGTCTCCTCTCTCTCCTGGACTTATCCAGAGCAAGCTGGAGCCAGGCAGCGGCACATGCAGCAGACACCTTCAGGCAGAAGCAGCAGAGGGACGTCCAGAGAACCAGCAGGGATGTCTAGAGAGGCCAGGTGTGTGTGAAGTACAGAAACTAGAGGTACCTGCCATAGGGACCCTGCCAGATACCATGGCCGCCAATGGGTCTGCATTTAATGCGGCACCAGGGCTGCAACCCACATCCTTTTGCTCCAAAAAAAAAAATCACAGACCCCTTGCTATGTGAGATTCTCCATTAGCCAGGCTCGCCTTAGGACTCCTGCCCTCTGCGGGCTGCAGCCACAGGAAAGCGACATAGTGGCAGGGCCGGGAGCAGGCTTGGAATGCCGCCGAGTGCCAGGTGCACGTGACGTTCTGAGCCAATACGAAGCAGTGTGACTGTGTCAGCGGGGAGGACGACAGGTGCATTGAGACACCCGGGCAGCCAGCGGCCTCTAGCTCCGAGGCCAGGGAGAGGGAGGGAGTGGCAGACCCATGCTGGGTAGGGAGGAGTCAGCGCTCACCTCTGTGTTTGGCAGTGTCTGTGCCCCGGGAGGGGTTGTTCTTCCTCAGCCCCTCCATCACGTCCTGGATGCGCCAGATCTCCTTCTGGATTTGCCGATTGAGCATTTCGTTCTGGAAGGGCCAAGGTGCGGAGAGTCAGAGCCGCTGGCAGGCGCCGCACTTGGCAGCCAGCCACCCCGAGCCACAGAGGTGTGGCACGGCCCAGCCAACCTGCCCTCTGCGGCGAGGTCTATGTGACAGCTGCAAGAGCGGCCTGGCTACAGTGCTGCAGCTGTGCCGCCGGAGCGTGGGGGCTTGCTACAGCGATGGAAGAGGTTTTCCTGTCGCCGCAGTTAATCTACCCCTCTGAGAAGCGGTAGCAGGGAGAATTTGTCCGCCCACCTAGAGGTGTCTACACCGGGGCTTAGGTCGGCTTGACGACCTCTTTCAGGGGTGTGAATTTTTTACACCCCCGAGCAAAGTAGCTAGGCGATTTAAGTGTTGGATGGAGGCCAGGCCTGACTGACCCTGTGTCCCTGACCTCATCGCTCTACAGTAAAAATACCCAGCGCCTCCTCCTGCCCACTAATACCGTAGCGCCAAACCGTGGGGCCTTCACTCTGGGGTCACTCAGAGGGAGCTCCCAATGCCATCACTGAGGGGGGTGTCTGAGCAAGGAACGGGACCCGCAGGGATGTGGCCCCAGAAGTCACTGAAAGGTGGCATGAGCAAGGACTGAATAATGAACGGCTTTGCAGGGGAAACTGGCCCCAGCATGGCTGAAGTATGCAATAGGCTTGTTCACCAGGGCACTGGCAAGACAGGCCAGGACTACCGGCCTCTCCTTTCCCCCGTCTGGTGTCACAGACATAGGGGGCCTGAACTAGAACCTTGCATCAGAATCAGTCACCTGCTCGGAAAATGAACAGCTAGGGTGGGATGGATCCACAAAGGTATTTAGGCACCTAACTCCCATTGAAATCAATGGGGGCTAGGCACCTCAATCCCCACCAGAGTCCACCTCAATGTTTATCTTGCAAAGATTCCTTCATGCTGCTGCCAAGGCATTTCTATAGCAGCAGGTGACAATTATCCTGTGAATTCATCCCCTCGTGGTAACCCTGGGCCTTTCCCGCTTCGTTACAGAACAGCAGACGGTAAGTGCCACCTAGTGGTGAGTGTCCTGGGGCACTCAGAACTCCTGTGCTCTAATCCCAGCTCTGCCACTGACTGGCTCAGCGGTCTTAAGCAAGTCCCGTTTTCGCTGTGCCTTGCCTTCCCCCTCGGCCACCCGGGGATAACACTGCTTTCCTGCCGGGGCAGCTGCGAAGACAGACTGGGTAATATTTGCATGGCGCTCTGTTTAAGTGTTATTGCACAGCCACTTCTACCTTATAGTGAGGGAGGCTGATGCCCAGTTTACCTTGGCTCCATCTCTGAAGCAGACAGACCCCCAATAAATACATTATTGGAACGGAAGGGTGAGTAATTACCCAAAGAGGCAGAGCTTGCTTAATACAGAGGCAAAGGCCAAGCTTGAAGAAGCTGACCTAGGGTTATATACCAATTAGTTTTTAAAGGAGTAGGGTTCAGTCTAGGATGACTGACATGGTTCAAGCAGAAGGAAGGAAGGTTACTGGGCTGGCTTTAGAAAGATAGTTTTGGATGGGGTGTACTTTGACCCTGCTGAATATCTATCCCCAGGTCATTAGTCAATCCCAAGTCATTTTAAGACCTAGGGGTCAAATTCTGCTCAATGTTACATAGCGTAAATATGGAGTAATGAGTATCGAATTCAACGGAATTACTCTGGATTTACACCCTTGGTTACTGAGAATTTGACTCTGTATTTTCAGAACCACGTGTGCAAATGTCTGTGCATAAACTCCACGTGCATTTGCGTTCCTAATTTGCACAGGCAGTTACTGAGCTTGTACATGTAATCCCAGTAATTGCACCGCCACTTGTGCACCTAACTGGCCATTTTCTGCATAATTCGTGTGGCTGCCTGCATAGGCGTGATAATTGTGCACACAAATTAGATGCACCAAAAAACACGCGCTTGTTTTTGCACATGAAGGTTTCTGAAAAGCAGGTCCTGAAGTTGTGACTTAAACCCACAGAAACCAAAAAACTCTAAGTCATGGGCTCTTAGGGCTAGAATTTACTCTTATTTACACCAATTTTACAGAGGAGAACTCTACTGTCATCAATGGAGTTACTCCTGATTTACCCCAGAGCAGAATCAGGCCCTGGTGAACTGGTCTAGCTGCCCAGAATGGCTGAGATCTCCATTTCCATACGCCCCGCCTGATCCCAGGCTGCTTGGATTCACTAGCACTGGCCTGAAAGGACACAGTCCCATTCTCTCACCTGGATGTCCAAGTTCAGCTGTTCCCACAGGTCATCATGCAGGGCTGACACCTCGCCCTCCAAGTTCTCATACTCTATGGTGCTGTTGGCCAAGGCCTGTAGGGATTTGCAAACATTTCCATCAGGAAATCAACTTGTCTGTCTGTGTCCATGGGGGGCACAGGGAATACTCAGCCTGATGCCAGCACACAGCCCTCACCAGCCTGCCAGAGCCAGGATGGGCTGCTAAGAGGGGGATCCCCACCTTGGAGAAAGAGGAGCTTGGGCAGCGGGTGGGCCCTGGCATGTGTGTCATAGCACGGGACTGAGTATGGAGCTAGGATACGGCCGGCAAGGCCATAGCCCATACCCTCTCCTAGTGGATGCTCAACTCAATCCACCTAGGGAAAGGCATCCCTTGTCTTTGCTGCCTGTTGGAAATACCAGGCCTGGCTGTGAATGGCATGTGAGCCAGGGGGCATATCAGGGGAAGGCAACAGAAAATGGTAGGGAGGCTTTGTTCACAGGGAACAGCAGACAATGGGGGAGGGGATTGGTGGAGAGATGGTGGCAATAGTGGATTAGGCAGGATGTAGTGACAGGTGTTGTCTGTGCTGAATGAGCCCCTGGGTAGCCAGGGAATTGTGGCCATCCCTAATCCGGAGTTCCTTTGGAGCTGGCAGGGCCTGTGCTGGAAGCAAAGAGAAGCTGGTGATGACTGTATTGCACCATGAGGGATCAGGGGTTGGAAGGCAAACCAGGAGTGCAGAAAAGCAAGGAATGCAAACTGCAAGTGGGAACCCAAAATATTGCTCCCTGGCACCCCAGCTCGGCGCTGCAGGGGTTAATATTTTTTGTCCCTGTACAAGATGTCTCAGTTGACAGTGGGATGATGGGATTTGCCCCCCTCCTCTTTTTTTAATGAAAGAAAAAGAGAAGGGGGCAATGCACAGACAAAGGAGAGGAAAGAGGAGAAGAGATTTATCCCCACCCGGCTGAGGTGGCAGAGACATTCCCCCCTCCAGTGCCAGGTCTCCCAGGCACTCACAGCCCCAGCCTCGTGGAAAGCAATAGCCAGGCTGCCCAGGCAGTTCCTTTGGAGAACCAGGCTCCATCCACTCAGTTCATGCTGCTGCTGAGCAAGGTCCCTGCCCCACGGGCAGCATGCAGACGCCAGGATCTATGCCGGGCAGCTGCTCCCCTCAGAAGCAGCATAGTGGGGGTGCATGGCACTGCATGAGTTAAATCTGCATGGCACTTTGCAGCCCAGGACACATGGGCCTCTTCCTGCGTCCCATCCTCCCCACAGTGAAAAAGTGCCCAGGCGTGTGGTGCCCCATCCAACCCACTGGTATAGTGCAAGGCCTCTCTAGTGACTTGAGGACCATTGGCCATTACCATGTCATTGGTTCACTTGCGGGCAGGGCACAGGGGAAATTGAAGCACTGGGCCAGTCTGGGTCCCCATGACACCCCCAGGAGGAGGAGGGGTCCCCAGCAGTCTCATGGACCGACGGCTAGAGGAGTGTCTGTTACCGTGCTGGCCTGGGACAGTTCCACCCGGATGTTGATCAGCTGGTTCTGGAGGGATTCCTTCTTGTGCAGCAGCTTCTCAGGGTAGGCTGGCTGGCTCCCGAACATCTCCAGCTCCTGGTGGGTCCCCATCAGGGCACTCTCAAGACTCTCCTAATGGTAGGGATAAGATGGTCATTAAACCCTCATCGCCTCCCTCCCCTCGTACGCGCAAAGCGCTCAGCCTTGGCAAGCCCAGAGGTTGGCATCTGAAAGGGCCATTTTTGCAGCAGAATGGTCAGTGGGTAACCATGCTCCCATCCTGGTGAACGCCAGCGGGTAAGCGGATCTGGCTGACCTGGGGATGGGGCTGCAGGCAGCCAGAAATGCCCAGCCCTGCAAGCAGGGAGGTTGGTCATCGCAGGGTTAAGGCACTGGCCTGGGACTCAGGAGATCTGGGTTCATTTCCCAGCCCTGCCACAGTCTCCCTGTGACCTCAGGCAAGCCACTTGGCCTCACTGCGCCTCCGTTCCCTATCTGCAACGTGGGCAGAACACTTGCCCTCTTGCCAGGTAGTATCAGGAGGGGACCATAATTACCATAAGAGGGACTCTACCGTGATGGGGGCCAGGTAAGAATTGAAAGCCACTAGCGCTGTGTAACCGCCCGGGCAAAAATACCCACCCTGGCGGGAGGTCTGAGTGCTTCATCCATCCACCATGGGGGATGGCGTAGGGATCCCAGGTAACAGCTACAACCCTGCTACTGGTGAAGTGCAATGCTCACCAACAGAAGGCACGGCTAGCCCCAGCACTCGGGTGCCCCCAGGGTGGTAGGAACCAGCCTGCTCCGTTCCCCTCCCTCAGCCACTCACCTTCTCGGCTCGGAGCTGCTGCACCAGCCTGTCCTGCTCCCTCACCACCTTGTTTTGCTCACACAGTTTTCCCAGCAGCTTCTGTCCTCGGGCAAGGAAAGAAAAGGGGAGGGGGGGAGAACATGAAGAGCAAGGGGCACCGGGGTCCAAGGTGTAAAGGGACATCAGGTCAGGTACAAAGCTGGCCTGGCCAGTAACAACCACTTCCAGGCTCTGGGCTGCAATACTGCCTGGTGCGTGCTAAGCTTCCCCATTCCTGTCTTGAGATCACTAAAGCCTTTGGGCAAACAACGGAGAGGGCTGGGTATTTTAATGGCATTTGATCAGCTGGAAACTAAGGCTGTTCAGGGCAGGCTGGAAGGCTGGGGCTCCCCCACACCACACATTTCCTCATGCCCCAAGGTGCTGTATGATCTCTGCACATCTGATTATTGATTGGCCAATGTACCCCCCATTGTAGTTTTGGCAGAAGTCCCTCTGCAGCCCGACTGCGGGGAGTCCACCACGACGGGGGTGCTGAGCCGCACAGGGATGGGGATTGCACCTCTTCCCAGCCCCATTCCCCTGGAGCCCTTCAGTGTGGAAGCCCTTCCTTGGCTTTTACCACAGACCTCAGAGCCCTGGTGCTAAGCCAGCTGTGGATAATTGACAGGAGAGGGGAGATGGGGTCTGTTCTGCCATCACGCCATGGTGCACAGTTAAGGATGGAGAAGGCTCATTATGGTAGATCAGCGAGTCTGTATCTTCACCAAGGCAGGGCACAGATCCAAACCCTGATCCCAGTCAGGTCAGTGGCTCCCAATGATTTGATTGGGACGAGGATTTGGCCCCCCAGTCCTCCTGACAGTAGTTTAGCACCAGATACATCTTCTATGACGCTAGCTTATAGCCTAGAGACCCTACAGTATCTCATTTCTAGCCTCCATTCAGTGAGCCCCTTCCCCTTTTCCCCAGCTCAGAAGCAGATGGGTCAGTCACACTTGGCAGCACAGAAAATGAAAAGTCAGTAGGATCCATTGGGCTTCCTAGGAACTGAGTTTCATTTCCAGGGTCACTCATCAGGCCACAGATATGGGGCAAAGCCCCTCTAGCAACGGGAGGGGCCACTGTCTATTTACAACGTCATTGTGTCACAGGTGGGCAGGGTACAGGGGAAATCCCTTTGGGATCTGCACAGTGGGGACCTGCAGCAAGCTGCAATCTTCCAGGGGACATTTACTACGCAAATACCCACGCAGGTAGCACACAAGCCGAGCAGACAGGATGCACACACAATTACACGCACAGCAGCAGGGAGGGATGCAGTGGAAAGGAAGCTGAGAACTAGAGAGGACGAGCGAGCCACATGAGTGAGTGACAGCGAACGATACTGATGGTGCCCGCGTCCTTCTAGCTCTGCTATGAGAGAGGATGTTCGTCCAATGATAAATAACATCGCAGAAAGGGGCAGGAGAAGGCATAGCTGCTGAGGGGCGGAGGATGGGTGGGTGACAGCAGAGGGGCGGGGCGGACAAGCAAGCAGAGAGCGTGGCTCTTACATCAGTGTCTTGCTCGCTTATCTTGTAGGCGTGCAGAGTCTCTCTGTAGGCCTCTGGGAAGGGAGACACCTGCAATAACAGGAACCAGTCACTGCTGCTCCCTCCTGCCGGGAGCACATCATGACAAGCCTCTTGGGAGAGCCAAGGTGGCTGCTGGAGCCCTTGCTGAGAAAGGTTTCCAGCCCAACCGTCCCCCATTCCCTACCAACCTAGTCCTCTTTCCCCACAACACTTGGGGGGTAATAATGAGAGGTGAAGGGTGTGCACATGCAGAGCATTGGCCATCAGTGATTAGAAGGATCACCCAATTCCTCAGAGTCAGCCCAGTCCAGCTGGGCTCGGATAGTGGCTTAGAAATGCCTGCTGAGTGTCCAGTTAGTCCCGGAGAAGCCAAGAAAGCACCGCACCTCCATATACAAACTAAGAGAACTGCCAAGCAAATGCTCCTTTCCTAGCCCCTTCAGCAAAGGCTTTCCATGATTTAACCACATCGGGGGCCTGGATTTGTAAACAGGTTAGATGCGGCCTTGTGAACAACAGTAATTAGCCACCTGCCCGTGCAGTTACCCCGTTTCCATTCACAGCCAGAGGAGCTGGGTGTGCAAATCGGTGTGGTGCCTTTGTGGGGGCCGTCGTGCACGAAGCTGCTGTCACAATGTGCCTCAGTTTCTCAGAACGAAGCTGTTCTAGATGAGGGGGGGCTCCTCAAGGCCGGGCCTTGCCTGAACTTGTAACGTAGGAAGGTGCTGGGGTGAGTGTGTGCTTAAAAGGAGATAAAGACTCAGCATGTAGCTTACAAGAGGGATGGGGAAGAAGAAATTGCTGAATAAGGTCTCGGAGTGCCCCTTTCATGGGAGGCTGAGACAAGCTGATCGTCACCGGAGGGATGGGCTAAGGGGTAGCGGACAACAGCAGACCAAAAGAAACAGCTGGTGCAGTCACTGGGGGACACTGCACTGACACTCCCCACTGAGGGCTAACTTTCAGTGAGCTGCTGGTGTTAGGCTCTTTATTTGGGGTGCTTCTATTTTAGCTCCCCGACTTTTTACTACAACCATTTTACAGATGGGAAAGCTAAGGCAGAGAGATCAAGGCACAACATTTTCAAAAACAGCCACTCATTTTGGGTGCCTCACGTTTTGGGTGGCCAACTTGAGACGTTATGGGCCTAATTGGCACAGGGTGCTGAGCACCCACCATTCCCACTGACTTAAACTGATTGGTGGGTGCCCAGCACCTCTGAAAAGCTGGCCTAAGGTGTCTCACATGGGGCCCCAAAGTCAGTGGGCACTTCTGAAAACGTTTACTCTAAAAAACTTTTCCTTCCCTTGGAAAACTAGAGTAATGGTGATTCCCCAGGGCGGCACACGGGATGCGAGGAGACTTCAATTCATTGTCTAAGAGATCCACAGCTGCAAATAGGTCCTGATCCTGCGAGATCAGGATTTGGCCCAAGGGAGCCTGCTGTCTCAGAGCAGGACAGGAGAGCCAGTGGGACTTCCTCTGAGTCCCAGGCTTGTACTCAATCCTCCATGACTGCACCCTCCTTCCCAGCTGGGGGCACGTTCCATTTACACATTGGGTACAAACTTCTTCACTTTTCCATCCAACGCTATCCCTTCCTCAGTGCGATGCAGCATAAAATGCCCAACAGCCCACCTAGAGAGACAACCAGGAGGTTCCGCTGAACAGAACAGCCCTGGGGTCCAGTGCAGCGCTAGCGCTACATACATTGACCAATGCCCTGCCTAAGGTCCTGCCTGACCACTGCTATGTCCATCAACAGCCCACTGTGTTCTGTACAAACGTCTGGAAAATATACATCGGAAGCATTCAGCAAAAGTGAGTTCGGTTAACACAGATGGCAGATCTATGAATGAGGCTTTGAAAACATGAATGGGTGATGCTAAGCTTTCCTTGATGTGACTTTTATGAATGGGTCCTGGTTGGCGTGCGTTTGCGGTTTGGAATTACAGGAGGAAACAATAATAATACTTAGTTCTTATATGCACTTTCTGTATACAAAGCACTGTGCAGAAGTAACATGCTTGCTGGGTGTGTCACATCCCCCCTCTGGTGGCTCAGAAAGGATAAAAGCCGATTTCTGCTCCCAGCTAATGGGGTTGCTCCTCCAGCTCAAAGGACAGAGGACTATGCTTTGGAGATGAAGACCCTGGGTTATTATTATTTGCATTATTGTTGTGCACTGGAGCCCCAGTCACAGCCCAGGACCCCACTGTGCTAGGCGCTGTACAAAGAGAACAAAAAGACAGTGCCTGCCCCCAAGTCTAAACCTGATATCCAGCAGCGGTGGGGTCCTTAACTAATTAATCCTCATAGACATGTAAAGTATTTATCATCTTCATTTTACAGATGGCAGCTGCAAGGCAGAGAGAGGGTAAGTGTCTTTCCCAAGGCTGCCCAGGGAGTTGATGGGAGAGGGAGATTAGAACTCAGGACTTCCTATGTCCCTTCAGACAGTAGGCTTTGGAATGGCTTATGGATGTCCCAGCGAAGCTTGTGATGGAGCTATCACAGGCGGATGAGGCATTGCAATGAGCGGAGATGTGGGGCGGCGCGTTCCCGAATGAACTGCGTGCGTGGGAGGAGGCTGGACTATGGGTCTGCCATGCAAAAGCAGCTGGAATGGGACTGCTGATGGCAGAGCTGCTGTGGTTTCTTACTTGCATGTACAGCTGGGCCCTAGGGGAGGAGTTCTCCACCATTCTGTTCACCATACTGATCAAAGTTTCGCTCTCACTCATCTGCGACAGACAAGGAAGGAAATTTCAGACGTCAGCAGAGACACGGATTCTCCCTCGGTTCCAGCATGAACGTTCATGACATCGTACGGGGTGATCTTCGGCATCGGTTAGGGAGGCTTTGGACAGGGCTCTTCAGGCCTCGTGCGGCAAGGTGCTGAGCGCCACCAATTCTGCTGGAAGCGGACGGGCGCCAGGAGCAAACCGGACCTCACAGGAGGTGCTCAGCCCCTTGCAGGGTTGGCGCACCTGGGCCATCGCTGCCCAGTTTCTATGCAGTCAGCTCTGCTCCCCGCCTGGCCACCAGCCAAAGCTCTGGAGAGACGGAGGAAAACCTTCACCAGTCAGAAGTGAGCTGGTCTAGAAGGCCACCCTACTGTCCACAAAGAGGCAAGCCTGGCACCAAGGCGCATTGCACAGCCACCGTCCTGGGGGATAGACCAAAGGGCACGTGTCCCACAGGGTCACTAAAATTCCCCTGCCTCCCGGATCTACTCTACAAAGACAGGAGGCTGCAGACGTACTTCCTTCCCCATGCTGTGAGTCTAGACACAAGACTTCATGGTCTGCAGCTATTCCTCGCACCGTGAGAAGACAGACTCCCCAAGGTCCTCAACAGAGATGGAGCCCAGGGACTTTCTCTCCAAGAGCCTTGAGCTAAGGATGGAGCCAGAGTTCTCTCTTCACTGCTGAGCTGAATGCACCCAGAGAACAGTTACATCGGGACTCGGGAGCAGGGTCTGACCTCACATCAGCCCATGGCTCTAGTTCCAAAGGTCAGGATCGGCCGCTCTGTTTCCATTAATATCTACGCTACTGCGAGGGTATTATTGCAGTGCTGGAGAGGCTGCACAGGGTTATAACGCCCATGAACGACGGGGAATCTTTCAGGGTCTCTTGGTAAGGAAAGCCTGTATTGTACCACACCTATGTCACTAACTTCCCCCACCCCATCGCTCACTGTCCATGGTCTGCCTGGGGGCAAGATGGCACGTTGGGTGGCGCTGCAGAAGGAAGCGCCCTGCCCTCAGAGCTGGAGTCTGCTCTATATTGCAGTGTTTGCTATACCCCACAGGCCTTGAATGAATGGAGAGTTGAGATGTGCGAGGCAGAAACAAGCCTTTCCACCCTGCTACATGGAAACCAACTCAGTCACGGACATGTCGACTGAATCCAAGAGAGTCAGATCCCAACGCTGGAACTATTTAGGAGTAGCTGAAAGGAATTTTAGGCCTAAAATTCAGCCTGTGGAGCTTTAAGAGTATTATCATCTGGGGAGCAAGAGTCTCAGGATTCTACATATTCCTTTAAAAAAATTAAAAATCACCAGTCTTAATTGTGAAATAAAAAGATAAACAAAGACACCATTTATGTCAGACCTACATATTAAAAAATGGGTTCTAATATGCCCTCCGCTGGTCTGAGCATAGTAATAAATAAATACTACCCCCAGAATGATGCTGCTAACACCTAGATAGGGGATATCTTGATAGTCCCACTGAATAGAATAAAAGGAAGCAAAAGTACATGCACCAGATTCTTTAAGACGACATTCTTACAGTTGTTCATAACAACCGCTTAGAAATTTAAAACTGAAATCTCTTATCTTGCTGGGTTCCCCCCTCTCCCTAGGGCGAGGATAACTTGGTTCATTATTGCAGGGCTGCACAAACTGGAAGCTTGGCAGACTCCCGTTTGCAAGTGTAGTGTTTCACCCACCAGTTTGTGACTGTAGGGTTACCCACCACATAGGCGCGTATTGTGGGAAGATTGCACAAGCTAGCTTATTATTGTAGGGATGGTCATTAGTACTTGGCTACCGGGACTTATTTTCTTTTCAAAATTACAAATAGCACTAATGTTTTTGTTTGTTTTGGTGGAGTGGGATCCCCATGTAACCAGCATTTAAAGGGACTTGCAAACAACCAGACAAACACCACAATTAGGAGATCTAATTCTGCACCATAAAATCTTGCCATTGTCCCTTTCCTTTCACGCTCCGCCAGTACCCACACAAGGGTAGGGGTCAGTTTAGCACACAAAGGGCCAGATCTTCAACTGATGTCACTGGGCGTAGCTGTACAGAAGCCAATGGCGCTGCGTCAGCGTACACTAGCTGAGGATCATGTCTAAGGGTATGTCTACACTACGGGATTAATCCGAATTTAGATAATTCGAATTTGGGAAACAGGTTGTATAAATTCGATTGTGCGCGGCCACACTAAGCACATTAATTCGGTTTTTAACCACATTAATTCGGTGGTGTGTGGCCACACTACCCCATTTATTTTAACCACATTAATTCGGTGGTGTGCGGCCACACTAACCCTAATTCGAATTAACAAAATCGATTTTGGCGCTACTCCGCTCGTCGAGGTGGAGTACAGAAATCGATTTAAAGCGCCCTTTAATTCGAACTAAATGGCTCTGTAGTGTGGACGGGTGAAGGGTTAATTCGAATTAACGCTGCTAAATCCGAATTAATCCCGTAGTGTAGACCAGGCCTAAGATGTTCCGTTCCAGCTTCCCAGACAAACAGGGAATGAGAAAATAAAGAAGCAAACAGTGCTTTAAAGGGACACTTGATTATTCTCTCCAAAGGTCAGTCGGGAAGGAGGAGACAGTAAGCCTTTGAGGGAGCATTTTCAAAGAACTCACGAGAGGAAACCCCGCTGCTGATGGATGTGAAATAATCTGGAGAGCGTTTTATTTTACTGCCTTCTCCTCGCTCATGTCTGGCTCCGCTCCAAGCCAGACAGACACACCTCGGGGAGTACTCTACCGATGGGCATACAGGACTCTGGCTCTGGAGCAGCTTCCCTATTGAAATACAGACTTCTGCAGGCAAACATCAGGCTGCAGCACTTGCCTGCGGAATTTCTTTTTCTTTCCCTTTTTAATCTCACGCCTCATCTGTAATGTTCATCTCGATGCTCCTGCAGATGTTCCCCAAAAGGCTTTCCCCTCCCTATTCCTATGATGATGTGGAGTTTACAACCTGCCTCAAACACACCCTCCCGTGCAGTTGAGGTTTGGGTCAGGTCAAGGATTGGGGGATGTTCGTCCGGGCTGGTTCTTGTACCAGAAAAGGATGATGCTTCCCCAAGACCTGCATCAAGGCTTTCACCTCTGAGAGGGAACTAGTTTTTATGCTCCTGAATTTCTTAACAATTATCTCCAATTTCTGCCCCTCTTCAACAACACACAAACAAGAGCCTGCACACACACACACACACACACACACACAGAATATCACATACTTGCACCCAGCCGTATGGCAATGCTCTTCAGGTCTTTGTAAATGTTTAGTGGTCCACTCCTAGCCTGGACGTAACAGGAGCCCCATGTTCATCCCACAATCTCTAGCTGCTTGGACTAAGAACTCCAAGCACCGTCTCCCCTGGCTCCTTCCCCCTCAGAGCAGGTGTCTCAGCTCGGAGGTTGAGGATGGGCTAAGCCACTTTCCCCCCCAGAAGGCTGACCCGCTAGATCAAAGGTCTGTTGGCAAGGACAGCACACGCCTTATTGCTGGCCAAACCGTCCCTGTGCTGTGGGCAGGGCGGGCTCATTCTCCTGGGCTGTCAGTCCAGAACTCTTCATGAGCACCCAAATCAGGCAGTGCTCTTCCTACACTGGACGGGACACAGGGCCTGGCTGTCCCCTCCTGAAGGTATCGCGTCCAAAAACAGTCTGCTGCCCCATCCCAGAAAACTACCTGCCTCCCACCCACAGCACTCCACGATCTCCCACCTCCGTACACTCAATCAGACCCAGCGTAAGCAGATGCACGGCTCCCGGAGACTTCACTGAACCACATTCAGGGATGACCCAGAGCAGATCGAGACACTGAGGGCCAGTTTCTGCTCCCCTTCCTTCCAGTGAGTCGTGCCATACCCATGGACTGGTTCCCAGAAGAGTAAGGAACTAGGATGAGTGAGGTGGGATGGAATCTGGTCCCACATTAGCATAATCTGTGCTGGCTTGCTGCCAGCTTCTGCTCTCACTTACGCTGGTGCAAATCAGGAGTGAGCCCACTGGAATCAGTGCAGTTATACTAGTGACACATGGGTGTGCGAGGAGAATCCAGGCTCCAGACTGGTGAAATTTACATTTACATACACACCCATTTTCTGATCCAATCACATCTGGACAGGTCACGTTCTCCTCCCACTCAATCTCCAGTGACCCAACTCAAGTTACTCCTGATTCGCACCAGCGTTGTAGGGGCATTCAATATACACACATTCATTGCACCGCTGACTCTGGTGTGGTACCTCGCAGTCATTTGACGCACAGAAGGCATTTGTCCAGTCAAGCGATGGGCGACCCTGCAGAAGGGAAGAATGGAGGAAGCAAACCAAAGATGGCTTATGCTGCCGCGATGCCAAGAAAGGCTGCAGAATGGATGTTCAGGGAAGGGGCAGGGAATGACAGTGTACTGAAGGCAGAGGGGAGATGGCGCAGTGACAGAGGCAGGAGGGGACATGAGCAGCGTGACGTTCGCGGCCAGCTCTGCCTACCTGCTGGTCCAAATATTCTAGGTTTCTTTGCAACTGAAGGTCTAAAAGTTCATCCTACCAGGAGCCAACAGACATGCGGCAAAAACGGAAACACAAACAAACACACAAAGAAGAAGCAAAGCGGTTAGGTGAAGGCTGCAGAAAGGCAAAGAGCTCTCGGGCTGGGAGGCCAAGTACTGCCTCCTGTGGCTACGCCGCTCCGAAAGCAGGACTGGCGGTGAGTGCTTAGCACGAGCAGCCTTTTCAAGAGATCTTTCTGTGCTCCTGACAGGGGCTCCTGCTGGGAGCTCCCTCACAGCCAGTGCTCCTGCCCCATTCCCTAGAGCGCCTCCCGCTGGGTGGGGCTGGGACTGCAGTGAATGAGAGTTCCCCTCCAGGCAATGCTCCTTCCCCATTCCCAGATCACCTCCTGCAGGGAGAAGCTGGGTTCAAAGTAGCTAGGAACTCCCCCACAGCCAGCATTGCATCGCCTTCCGCTAGGGTCTGCAGTAGCTGGGAGCTTCCACGCAGCTAGGGCTCCTGCATTATTGCCGTTGGTGACTCTCGCTCCAAGTGACGGGAGCTGCCACAGCTAGCAGCTCCTCTAACACACCCCACTGCTCGATGCTTTCACTGCCCCTTTGCCCCACAGCACTGGAAGCTGGGAATGGGGCTTTTTGACATGGTTCCTGGATCAGCTCAATGGCGCCGGGATTCCATCCACACGCTTCCAGCTCAGCCACATGCATTTACCGATCAAAATGAAATCCGGTGTGAACAGCTAGGCCACAAGACAGGAGCAGTGAGGGTGAGAAGCTGCGTGCAGCAGGGGTGCGGCTCAAGTCCATTCCGTGGGGCATCTAAGTCCAGTCTGGGGTCTACCCACTGCTCTCCCGGGTGAAAGAGCAAGGCCCTGGCACAGAGCGGTTAAGTCCCAGACTGGAGGTTCCAGCCCAGGCAAGTGGATTCTGGCTGCTGCCCCCGCCCTATTAAAATACCCAAATCAAAAAGAAAAGCTCAGGCTGGTTGGGCAAAGCAAAGCAGCTATTGCAGCCGAAACCTGGGAACGGAAGAGAAAGAGGAAAAGGAGGGCTCGATCCATCCTTCGCATCCACACCCCCCTTCCCCACTCCCCCAGCTGAAAACCAGACAGCAAGGTGATAGGATACGTCCGGAGCTGGGATTTCCAAGCAGTTGTGCACCTTCGTTACTCCTTGAGGGGCTTCATAGTGATGAGTCCCTGGACTAGGGTAGGCACGTACCCCCAAGGTAACACACGCCCACCTTCCAACACCCTCCGCTCCAGTGGGTACACCACTCTGCAGCGGGAACGGTGATGCGCTGGGGAAAGGTGGGAGCGGATTTCCATGTGGGGTTCACTGGACCCAGCCCCAAACGGCACCCCCGATGCCAGATCGTGCATCCCCTTCAGATCCTTGCAAAGGACTCAGAGCAGATCGGTTTCCTCCTCAGTCTTCCAAGAACAGATGCACCCACTCCCCAGCCTCCCTGCTCCCGCCCCGCGAATGAGATGTCAGTCTAGTCTGAGTCCCAGCTATGCTCCTTGCACATCCAGGGCAGCAGGACTCACAGCGCGTCCGGTGCAATGAATAGAGAGGAAAGGGAAATACACCCCAGCTGCCACACATGCCCCTTGGCTGGACACACACTGGTAATCTCAGGAAGCTCTAAACTTCCAGCCCCACGCCAGCAAAGCAGGCATCTCAGTATCACTTCCTTTATCCCCGACTCCAGCAGCTCCCACCAGCTCGGGAGAGACACGGTCAGCAATGGAACGCCCGGACACCGACAGCACATACCATTTTGTCGTGGACTGTAGGGGACGCCGGGTAGTTGTAGGGATACATTCCTGCAGGGACGGGCCTCCTGTCACCCAGATAATCATACTGAGAAGAGAAGAGACACCCCCGCCCCCCCGCCGAGACATGTGAGATGTTTATACCACTCCATAAACTGACTGCGGTTGCTCACACTGCGCAGTTGGATCTCAGCTCGCTCAGTTTAAATTATGCCCATTTTAGGGATGGGGAAGCTGAGGCAGTGAGCTTGCATGCCCAAGGTCACAGAGTGAGCCAGTAGTGGAGCTGGGAGCAGAACCCAACTCATTTGGTCCCAGTTGTTTGCCTTATGGACAGTCCCACCATGCCACTTCTTAGGAGGAGATTTTCTAGTGGGGAAGGTGGCAGGAAAGGAAAAGGGGATATGCCTAAAAGTCTGAGTTCAGGCACAGATCCCAGTTCTACAGTTCAGGGGTGTTTGGATCCAGGTTTTGGGTCGGGCTCATCTCTCGCTCTGACTGTACAACAGCTCAGCCAGGTTCCCTTGCACTGTCTCATCCGGAGACTCCTGCGCTTACTGTCAGGGAAACCCAGAAAAGGCTCCTCAAGCCTCTAATGGCTCAGATAACTGAATTACCCTGTGCCCCGGAGAGCATTACCATCTCTCCCCCCTGTTTCCCCTGCCCTGGCGCTCTGAGACAGGCTTGCCCTCTTTGCTCATCTTATGAGGAGAAGCAGGAAGGAAACAAACACAAATAACCTGGCAGGGTATCTTCACAGGGAAGCAGAGGAAGTAGGCCAGGAGGAAGCTCTGAAGGCCAGCGCCCTGGTCCAAGGACATTTGGCACAAGCAGAGCAGTCATGAAGGAGTTAAACGAACCCCCGCACCCTGAGCCAGGCACAGTGCAAGCGGGGGTGCAAGTTGAGCTTGCAATCTTGACCTGCAGACCATTGTTATTCCAGTCCTGGGCTCCCCCCATCCAGCTCTGCCAGTGCCCCTCGATCCTGACCTGCAGCCCCCTTTGCTGTTCCTCTAAAGGGCAGGCATTTACCTTTGGGGAACTGACCGATCGCCTCATCATGTAGGCTGCAGGGTCAGCATAGATCTCCTCGCTCCTGGATGGCATCCTCTCAAAGCGGGTGCTGGGCGACCTGACCGGGGAGTACATCCTCGCCCTGTTGTAGGTGCCCTGGCTGGGCGAACGGGGCACGGACCTGGAGCGGGGCTGGAGGGACATCCTCCGCAGGGAGTCCGAGGCAGCATCCACCTCATCGTAATACACAGGCTGCCGGCCAGGGCCGGGGATCCAGACGGGGACGTCCTGCCTGCCGTAACCCGGGTGCTCCTTCCACTCACGCAGCTGGTAGGGGCCTCCATTGCGGAAGGAGTGGCGCTTGTCCTCCGCAGCCCACTGTGGGCTCACCCGCTCATAGGCGGGCATGGAGCAGATGCTGTCAGGACGCACGCCGGGCGGGTAGTACTGGTAATCCTCAGGGTACTGGGGCGAGTAAGGGGCGTAGTAGTCGGGGACCCTTCGAGACATCGGGAAAAACCTGGTGGGGCTACAATCCCCCCAAGGAAGGAAGAGAGAGAATCGTAAAACCTGGATCCAGCGCTTCAACTCCATCGGGATTTCCATGGGAAAGCCACAGCCTAGGCCTGCGCCGATGGGCCGGTGTCCGCCCGCCACCTGCTGGCAGGGCAGATCCTGCGAGGGACGCCCAAGGTGCCGAGCAGTGCGGCATCCCCTGCCAGCGATGGGACAGACCCCTGGACCCCATCCGGAGGGCAATCTCCTAGAACTCGGAGACTGGGCTGCTCCCCACTGCACCAGCCTTCGGATCTCAGAGCAGGGGCCCACACAGCCGCCTTAGGAAGCTAACTGGAGTCAGTGTCGGTGCTAGGAGACCCTAGGCCATGACTTTCCCCTCTGCCCAGCCACCTCCCCGGGGCATGGCTGGCACACAGCTGCTCCCCTACGCCACTTGGCAGGCTGCAGCAGTGAGCTAGGCTTCGTGATCGCATCTCTGCCTGGCTCCTTTTGCTTATGCTGCTGCTCCCCACGCTCCAAACTCACTGCCCCCTAGTCCCGGTCCTGGGGGGCAGGCCTATTGGTTTGCATGGCCCAGCAGCACGTGGTTTGGTGGAGGTTTCCTGGCCCAACCCCCGTCCCTGTGGCTGGAGAACAGGAGGGGGAACGCTCCCCCCCATCAGCTGGGAAGGATGGGAATGCTGTTCTGCCAGGGAGAGGAGGAGATCTGCTGCCCTTTCCCTTATGTTAACCCCAGCACGGCACACCATGCAGCCCTCTCACCTCCTCAGCTCCTCTGGCGGGGCAGCCCCCCGGCGCAGGTTCACCCACTGCTGCAGCTGCGTCATGGAGCTCTTCCTCTGGGCGATCTTCTCCGGGTTGGTGCGTGGCACAAAGCCCGGACGGTGCACCACGCTCTCCCCATCCTGCGGCGGGTAGGCGGTGCTGCCGGGGCGGCTGGGGGAAGAGTACTGCCAGCCGTTGGGCTGCGTGGATCTCTCCACCCCAGCTGGAAACCGTGGGGCTTCAGGGTAAGGGCTGCCGGGCTCAGATGGCATCTCCTGGCCCACAATGCCGTTGGCTTTCACCAGGGGTTCCTTCTTGCTGTCGATCCTCTCCGACTTCCTCTCGATCTTCTCTGAACCACGCCCATCACCCTCCCCTCTGGTCTTGGCTTCCAGGTCTGCTTTGGGGTGCTCCCTGTGAGCAGTGGTCCGGTGGTGGTGGTGCTTGCTGGGGGGGATGTTCTCAGAGTCCGTCTTCTCCCGCCTGCCAGGTACAGAAACGCAGAGCGTCACCTCCCACTGGACAGCAACCCTGGGCCCAAATCATCCCAGGACAGTGGGGCCGATTCAGTCCCTGGACCCCCTAGTGGATGGTTACTGACCCTCTCCGCTCTGACGCGTCCCCCAAATTGCTGTACACCCTACATGCTCCAAAGGACTTCAGTTTTCCAGCCACTGCCCCTCCAAGTGCTGAAAGGACCCCATGGTTAATGGCCACTTCCCCTCATCTCCAAAGGGACCCCAAGTTATCTAGCAACTGTGCCCCCAAGTTAATAGCCACTGTATCCTCCAATGTGCCCCCAACTTGAGGCAGGACCCCCTCCCCCCAATTCTCCAAAGAGACCCTGAGTCTCTGACAACTGCTGCACAGCATAAGGTGCCTGTCGTGCTGACCTCTGGGGGGGTGGGATCTGCACCCGGGCAGCCTCGCCCATGGCTTGGATCCAGGACTCCTGCTCTTCGGTGTTCTCGGCGCTGAAGAAGTAGGTCCGGATGCCGGCGTGCTCGGCCTGGGAAGAGAGGGACTGCGTGTGACGCCCCAGGGCCTCCTCCACCCAGCACACAGTCACCTGCAGGGAGGGAGAGAAGTGCATACACAGAGAGAGGAGAGAGAAGTCAGTCGTCCAGTTGAGGGCGCCTGGAATTGTAGGTGAAGCCGTGCCAGCTCTCTCCCAGCGCCAGCTCTACCCCCCCCCCCCCCCCCCCCCCGCCACAGGGTCAGAGAGATGGAGAAATACCCATCAAATCGTCAGGTCCGTCCCCAGGCCAGTCGGGTGAAAATGACCCAATGCTGTGGGACATCGGGAGAGGTCAGATTTGGGTTACATGCCATCGCCAGGGGTCTCCCGACAGCCCATTCGAGCAAGGCACACAAAGCAAATGCAAGGCTCTTTCCCTTGGATTCACTGACTCAGGGAGACCCATATCTAGTGATGGGCGGGATCTAGAAAGGTTCAGATGAGCGCCATCTTATCATAAGCTCTCCCCATACCCTGAGATGTGGGAAACCGCAGCAGAATGGGCCCCCTCTGGGAATTCCTGGCATGGAACCCTTATTAAACATAAAACACGACAGCACTCTGCAGTACTGATCCAAGCAGGACAGCTTGCACCAGGGACGCTGCAGGACTTGGGGCAGTCACCGCACAATACCGGAGCACTGATTTAACAAGCGTTCACAATTCTGACCCTGACCAGGAACAGTGAGAAGAGCATTTTTAGGACTTCTGGTTTCAGGGGCAGAAGTGGGCAGAGAAACCCACCTCGAAACGCTCCTGATCCCTTCCGAAGGGTGGAGTCCAGCTCTGCGGACCACTACTACCGCTTCCTAGTCTTGTTACTACCCCCCTCTGTACCAGAGCAGGATCTGCTAGTTATCACAGCATACAAATATAGGCTCTACCCTGGGGCAGGCACAGGTAAATCCTGAACTGGAGGAAGATGTTCCATCAGGAATGGATTTATCCAGGCTCATCCGGCTCACAACTTCAACTATAGACGGGCCTGAATCAAAACCTCCCCGATCCGAACAGCTGATCATCAAGGGAGTTCAGATCCAGGAAGCGGCAGGATGCTACCCTGAGCCAAACCCCAGATGCAAAATGCTCTTTGCAAATCTGGATGCAAATCTTGCAGGTTGGCCGCGAATGTCAGTGCATGTCCCCTTCGCGGATGTTCAGAGCTTATAAAGGAGCCAGCTGGCAATGGTAAGATAAGAACAGAGCTGGTCAAAACATTCTTACTGGTACATGGTTTTGATGACAAATGGCTTTTCGAATAAAACCAATTTTACGGAGAAATGTTCATTTGGGTCAAAATCTTCTGGGTTTTTTTTGACAAAAAAAGTACAAAATCCCAAAGATTATTTTGGTTCTCTGGGTTTCCCCTTCCCTCCCCCATTCTTTCCCTCCCCACCAACCCCAAAGACTGAAAAACAAACTTTGGACGTTTGTTTTGCCAAAAAAAACCCAAATTTTTCAACAAAATGGAAAATTCTTCCTTGTGTTCTAATCGATCCCCCCTGGGGAATATGTAACATTTTTTGACCAGCTGCTGTTACTAGTCAAGGGCTCCCAGCCCCAGGGGAATCTTTCCTGCCAGGCTCATACAAACCTCGGTCTTTCCACCAAGTTCCCAACTAGGGAACACCAGGAAGGTCTAAGCATGCGATCCGCAAGAGAGAGACATAAACCCCAATGGTTCGTCCCCCTTCGTCGGGTGGAGGTGAATAAAGCATGCTGGGCAATCTGCGACCGGCCGCATCCCTTCTCTTTCCAGCATGCATTTGGAAATGGAAGGAGCATACTACCTATTTGGTGGCTGTGTGCTGGCATTGCAGACGGGCACTTGGAAGAAACCTCCTCTCCAGGGGGGAGATCCTCACGCGGAAGAAAGGAGGAAACACAGAGAACAGGTCAAACCACCCAGCAGAGAATTCAACAGGGAGATGCATCAGGCAGGCGGAGCGTGGCAGGAGCAGCAGTGTCACCAAAGAGGGGCAGATGGAGGGTAGCTGAGAACACGCTCAGTACTGGGTTAGCCCAGAACCAGAGGATGGAATCCTACCCATTTAACAGCCTCTCATCGGGCCTGATCCGGCCTTCTAGGCGTGCGAAGAAGGCTGGATCAGACCCACCGGGAGTCAAATTGTGCCATCAGAGACTGACCCCGTGTGGATCAAAGATACAGCAGTACTTTGCACAGTAATCAGTTAAGCCTCACACAGCCCCCTTGTGAGGATAGGTTAATATAATCTCCATTTTTCAAACAGGACATAGTGGATCCAATGACAACTGCTCCCCCTTCCGGCCCTGTGCAGTCATTTACAGCGTCCCAGCAAGTGCAAAGTAGGTGTGAAACGTGACTACCAGTAATCTCCTCTTACTCAGGAGGTAGGGGTTTATGGCCACTCTGCACAGGGTACGCGTTACCCCTCCACTGCCCTGCCAACGTGACCCAGCCCTGACTCGAAGAGATCAGAGGGTGGGGTCCAGGGGGCTCAGTCTCTGTGGCTTGTTCCTTCCTTGGCCTCTCTGATGAGACCACCACCAAGAGTGTCAATTGACTCATGCAGATACTTGTCCACCGAGTCCAGGACTGGGACCTACCAAATCTCTCCCCATAGGGAAAGACAGAACAGCCATCAGATGGCAACTCTAGAGATGGAAAAAACCTATTTCCCAGGCTCTCTAGCCTGCACTTGAGCACTGACTTTGATGGGTTTCAAACCAGCAACCTCCAAGTGAAAGGCTCAGTAAGCCACTTCTAAACTCCTGAGCCTGCCGGTCGGTGCCTCATTTATGGCTTTTTCAACTCTCTTTTTCCCATTACGGCTAATCAGGATGAATCTCTGGGTAGTAGACATGGGCTAGAACCACAATGTAGGATCCAAAATTCAGGGGAATTTTGGGAAAATTTAGATCCAGATTCAAATTCCATGGTTCATAGTCATCGGTAGAAGCTAACATTACAGAGATGCTTTCTCCTTTATTGCCCCCAGGAAGGGCTGGCTGTCTGTTTAGCTGCCCAGTTTAGTTCTAAGGCACCTGTCATCAGAGTACCTAAGCCCCGTACAGAATTAAGAAATATTGGAGTCCATAAGAAAAATCGTTCTCTGTGCAACACTGTTTGGAAAATGTCAATTTACTCCAATGGAAATTTTGAAACATTTTCATTTTTATCCAAATTTCCCAGGAAAATGTCCAGTTTTTTAAGTGAAAAACAAAATAAAAAAAAAAGCTTTTCAGGCTTTTTTGGGAGGGAGAAAAAAATGGTTTGCAGTAAAAAAATTTCAAAAATCACCCAAAAACATGTGGGTCAAAATTTTTCTTTTGCAATGCAAAATGGCTTTTTTGGGACAGAGCATTGTATTTCGATGGGAACCTGGAACCCAGCTCCAGTTCTGTCTCTCCAGTCCCCAGTGGAAAGGGGGACGTGAACGTAAACACTCTCCATGAGTGGCATTCACTCCTGCACCAAGGATCAACACAGTCCCTCGGAACCAGCCAAGCTCTAGAGAGCAGCTCCAGTGATGCGCCGAGGTAAATTTTGCTCTCAGTGCTGGCATCTGCCAGGCCCAAATCCTGCCCTGCTCCCCTAGAGACTTTGTTGAATCATGATCTATGCCAGGGATCGGCAACCTTTGGTACGAGGCCCGTCAGGGAAAGCCCCCTGGCAGGCCGGGCTGGTTTGTTACCTGCCGCGTCTGCGGGTTCGGCCAATTGCGGCTCCCACTGGCCGCGGTTCGCCGCTCCAGGCCAATGGGGGCTGCGGGAAGTGGCGTGGGCTGAGAGATGTGCTGGCCGCGGCTTCCCACAGCCCCCATTGGCCTGGAGCGGCAAACCGCGGCCAGTGGGAACTGCGATCGGCCGAAACTGCAGATGTGCAGGGCCGCCCAGAGGATTCAGGGGGCCTGGGGTCTTCGGCGGCGGGTCCTGGAGCGAGTGAAGGACCCGCCGCCAAATTGCTGCTGAAAAATCTCGTGGGGGGCCCTGAAAACTCTCGTGGGGGCCCCTGCAGGGCCTGGAGCAAATTGCCCCACTTGTCCCCCCCTCTGGGCGGCCCTGCAGATGCGGCAAGTAAACAAACCGGCCCGGCCTGCCAGGGGGCTTACCCTGACGGGCTGCGTGATAAAGGTTGCCGATCCCTGATCTGTGCACATGCTTGAGTCCTATTGGAGTCAATGGGATTTAGCATGTGCTTCGCCCAAGTGGCACCTTCCAGCCATTGCAGCTCCACAGAAGCCGAAGGGACTGCACAGAGTAAGTGAGGGCACAAACCAGCTGCTAAGTGCTTCTCTGACCTCCCCCAAACCCTGGCCTGGGTCAGGACGGAGGCGGCTGAGGAGAGTAATAAAACATGATAAAGCCTTAAATCTCTCATTCTCCCTTTGGCTGACATTGGGTCAGAGCCGCATTTTCTCTAACCCGGGCTCCCTCTGTTCCCCATACGGGCCTGAAGGGGTTAACCCGACTGGCAGTGAGTTCAGGAGGCCGGATCCATGCTTTATTAATGACCCAAATGTTCCCAGGACTTGCCAGTTCTTGAAGGTTCTTTCCCTTGCTCTCTTGTTTTATTGCCATTAATAGGACATTGAGCCTCTGGAGGGTGGAGCAGACCTTTCGCCCTCTGCTGAATGTTGCAATATAAGGTTTGGAGCAGGAATGAATGTGCAAATAATATTCCAGTGACGAGCACCCAAAAATGCCTCCGAATAAAAACAAAATAGAGCGGTGGGTGTAGCACGGCCCCAGGCCGGAGAGAATCAAGGTTGCGTGTGTAACGCTGCCCCCAGCTGCAGAGAATCCAGGCTCTGTGTGCGTCTCTGCAGCTCTGTCCCCAGCTGGAGAGAATCCAGGCACTGTGTGTGCAAGCATTTGGCATAGGAGTGTGTTTTTGTGACTTATGGATTTTTGTTTGTGTGTGTACATCTGTGTGCATCAGTGGGCGAGCTGGGTTTTCTTTGAGCGAGAGTTGAGCATAAAGTAGGTGTTTGTATGTGGGAGTATTTTTGTGTGTGTTCATGTGCACCTGTGTGCTTGCACGCAAGGTGTGTTTGGCCTGTGTGCTAGTGCAAGTGGGAATATGCATATGTACAAGTGTGAAAAAAAATTAAGTCTTTGAGTGTGTGTTTGGCCCATGGGTTGGATGCACATTTCAATTTGCATACGTGAATGGACAGATTATTAAGTCTAGGTGAGTTGTGAGCATGGGCTACCGTGTGTACAACGGTGCTTGTGCGTGTATGAGTGTGCATGCATGTGTAACACTAACTGCTCTTGGGAGGATAAAACCAAACGGCTCCTTTTGCCCACAGCTCAGCAGGAGTTTCACAGCTTCAGTCGCTGCTCCATTGCAGCCGCTCCCCCCAGCGCAGAAGTTTGACAAGTAGAAACTAATTACGTGCTAAACAATTACAAGATAGTGTGTGTGTGTGTGTGTGTGTGTGTGTGTGTGTGTGTGTGTGTGTG